CGACCATTCAATTTACTTTGTGAGGTGATGACCAATGACCACAGAAAGTTTGGTAACTCTATTCCATTCAGTTATGAAGTTATAGCAATTTAAAAATTTTTGGCGAGTAGTCAAACTTCGAGGCCTGGCCCCGCCCCTTCAGTATTTACGAAAAGTCAATTTTATTGTCTCATTTTGTTCGCCCATCTCTTCTGAGCAATTTTACACAATTTTTGAGATGATCGTGCAAAAAATGATCGAGCAATCTAATCAGAAACGGACCCTAAAAACGGCCAAAACTGCAAAAAATTGCCATTTCAACCCAAAATGGCCGACTTCCTGTTTGATATTGACCATGCTTGCAAGAGACTTTTCTGTGCGGACTATTGAGTACTATAAGTGTACCAAATTTCATAACGGTACGATAAACTAAGCTTTATGGAGAGGGTTTTTTTTTCATTTTCTAGGGGGCGCTGTTCAGCCATTTTCTTTGCGATTTTTTTGGGACCTTTAAAATATCAAATTTTTCACCAGGCCTGACAAGTGTGCAAAATATTGTGAGTTTTGGGGTATGTTAAGATCCCCAAAAAGCCATTCAAAGCGGCACCGGAATAATAAATAAAAAAAATAATAATAAACGGAGCAAAAACAAGAGGCCTTCGCAGCGCTTTCGCTGCTCGGGCCTAATAATAATAAACAGAGCAAAAACAAGAGGCCTTCGCAGCGCTTTCGCTGCTCGGGCCTAAAAAAATATTCAAAGCTGTCTCAGGGCCCCTCCCTGCAGTGGGCCCTGGGTAAACGGTACCCTTTCCCCCCCCAGTCCGACGCCCCTGCGCTTCGGATAGTGATGTGGATTTGCAGCTGAAGCAGCTGAGGACTGCACAGGAGGGCTTTACGAGGCTGAAGTTAGCTTCCGATTCGGGAAAGGGCTAAAGGACCATTGCACACAATTTTTCTCTACTCTGAGCATCCTTAATCTGCTCTAGCTCAAAATCTACAACACCCAGACAATTCAAACATGTTCTAGATTATTCTACTATAAAAGCAGATAAAATAAAACACAGTGTGGGATTTGTGAAACCTTTCCCTGATTTGTGAAACTTCAACAAAGCCAGATTTATGCATTTATCATGAGTTTAGCTTGATAGGCTTTTTTTCCTCTGGACAAGAAAAAAATTACTGGAAATAATGTGAAAGATATGAAAATATTGTGAAAGATAGGTGGAATTAAAATTATTTTACATCAATTATAGAAATATAATAAAAAGTGTCTGTGGGAGCTTTGAGACATCTCTAGCTTTCAGCTGAGATAGACAGGCTCAAGGTCCAGTTTACATTAAAATAGTTACAAATACAGTATAAAATGAACCATGTAAAACCATGTGTGTTAACAGACAGCTGTACCAGTGTTTCTAAAGCTCAGACTGAGAGAATAGGCACTAAGGGTATTGTTTGACAAGAATCAATATGTCATTTATTTGCTGATGAATTAATGTATAAAATTTCTCAAGACAGCTTGAAGGGAGTTAACTTATAAATGTTTTACAGGACAATAAATATTGAGATATATATCGTACATTGGAGTTCAGCTAAAATATATTGAAATATAAGTTTTGGTCTATATCTTCCAGCCCTAGTTGTACATCACTCCATCTTCCTGCTCCCAACATCAAGCCCTGCTCCTCCCCTAAAAGCTAGTCTCTGGTCTGAAACCTGTCTCCCCTGGACAGCTCAGAACATGTGGGATAGGTAACAAGTATCATGTAACAGAATTGGTAGTCTTGTGGATAGAGTACTGGGCTGGCATGTAGCTTTGCGCAGGTTCACATTCTGGTCTCAGCAGTAACATTTTTCTTTTCTTTTTTTCTATTTTTTTTTATTTTTATTTTTTTTGCTGCACTTGATGTTTTCAAATTCTGTATTGGTAAACAGTTTGTTTATTTAGCCAGTGTGTGTCCATGTGAAGTGAACAGAGTCAATTTTAAAAAAATGCTGCTTGTAAATGACCTCCCTGGTCTGCCACCTTACCATGGTGGAGGAGTTTGAGTGTCCCAATGATCCTAGAGGCTAAGTTGTCTGAGGGAATGTGTGATGGGTGGTAGCCGAAGGCATGAACCTTGGCAGTCTGATCTTCAGCTACAGAAGCTGGATCTGGGTTTGTGGAATGTCACCCCTCTGGTGGGGAAGGAGCCTGAGTTGGTGTGCGAGGTTCCGACTATATATAGTCAGACTCACCTTGATGCATGGCTCTGGCTCTGGAACCAGTTTCCTTGAGACACTCTACCACTCACACTAGAGTTGCCCCCTTTGAGAGGCGCCGTTACGTTGGGGTTTATCCCGATAAAAGAGAGAGTAGCCTCCCTCAGGGAGGCATTGGGTCCCATTTTTTCAAAGCCAACCAGGATTTGAACCTCGATCCCCCACTCCCAGGGTGGACAATCTACCTCTAGGCCACTGAGCTGGATCCACTATACTGCCCAAATAATGATTACAAATGTCTACTACATCATTAAGCCCTTTTTACAAGACACACTATGCTGGCAAATCAGCGAAATATTACTGCAACAGTGTCCTATAAACGCGGCATGGTGATGCGCAAATTTGGCGGCATTCTAACTGCCGCACTTGCTACTAATTTTGCTGTAATGGTCTGTCTCATAATGGGCCATTGCACCTTTACGCTACAGAGGAAGGTGTCATGATCACGTGGCGAGTTGCTGCCGAGAATAACGTCGACCCAGAGATAAGGATTGCTTTTGTAATCAGAATCAGCTGAGATGGCAAACTGGAGCAATGCAACACTCTAGGAGCTTCTCTCCATTAGTGCTGGATGTCAGATCATCAGAAACTGCACAGAAATATTTAGGACAGACACCTTTAAGAGCAGCTTGTCAAAATAACTTAATGAGCGCAGCTTCGATCGCAATAAAATGCAAGTTATGTCCAAGATAAACGAAAGTCCGCAGCAGTGCAGGGATCGCCCCCAAACTTCCTTTACACCGCTGTTGCCTAATATTTTGTAAAAAGGACATGATTGCGCCACATTTACACCATGGTCTGACCACTTAAAAACAACCTAAGGCTCCCTGATGCTGCCACGGGGTTGCAGCAAATTGACAGCATTGTTTTTGTAAAAACAACTATAGTGCCTCCAGCGTGTCCTGGGTTTTTCCTTGGGTTTCTTCCCGGTTGGACATGCCCAGAAAACCTACTTGGTTGAGCAAACACACACGCACCCTCTAAGGACACCCCTTAAGGGTATAGAGCTGATCCAGTGTTCCACGGCCAGGACGAAACCACATTGCTCCTCCTGGATCCGAGGTTCGACAATCTGACATACCCTCTTCTTCAGAACTCTTGAGTAGCCCTTATCATGGAGGCTCAGGAGTGTGATCTTCCTGTAGTTGGAACACACCCTGCAGTCCCCCTTTTTGAATACGGGGACCACCCAGGTCTGCCAGTTCAGGGCAACTGCCCCTGATGTCCATGCGATATTGCAGAGCCACGTCAACCAACACAGCCCCACAACATCCAGAGCCTTAAGGAACTCTGCGGATCTCATCTCCACCAAACTTTCACAATACTTTTGGGCCCGCCAGGTTTGACTGGCATTCACCCCCACCATCAAAGCCAATTCACCAGCAGCTAGTGGTCATTTCAATGCTCTGCCCTTCTCTTCACCCAAGTGTCCAAGACATGCGGCCACAGATCAGATGAAATAACAAAGTCGATCTTCGAGCTGCGGCCTAAGGTGTCCTGGTGCAGATTTACCGGTCGATCAGAGAAGAGCTGAACACGGCAGGATTTGGAGTCATATGTCCTGATATTTGGACATTTTGCCACGGATTGGATAACAACACTGACACTTGTTTGCTCTGCGGCGTGGATGTTTTATCTCCACAAAAAACTCAAAGCTTGAAGGACTTCTGCCATGTGGTAGAGTTGCTAATGCTAAGGGTTATCCTCTGCTAATCGAGACATTCTCTGCCATTCCCTGGACCCTAAACCAACAACAAACATTCTCTCAATCACATGGACTGTTCTGATCTCACCAACTCAAAGCATTTGTTACGTCCCTGACAGGTGTTGTAAAAATGTGAAGGATGGGGGTAACATAAGAACTGGCGGAGGAGTTTAAAATGGGTTTATTTGTAACTAAGAGGTATTAAAAACACAAGCAAACAGATCTCTCTAAAAATTTAACATTACACAGCAAACATTTTTAGTTATTCTACATTTAAATGTTGCAGACTGTGCCTTTAATCGATTAATCGAAAAAATAATCGACAGATTAATCGATTATGAAAATAATCGTTAGTTGCAGCCCTAGTTTATTTGTAACTAAAAGGTATTAAAAACACAAGCAAACAGATCTCTCTAAAAGGTTAACATTAGACAGCAAATTATCAACTATAAAACACCTGGTTAAAACTTTTATTAAAAGCTTAACCGATCAGAAGGTGTTTTAAAATCCCAAAGTTGATAACTGTTCCCAAAACAATACACTGACTAAAACACCTAGTAAAACTTATTTTTAAAAGCTTTTCCACACGAAGGTGTTTAAAAACCGAGGTCAGTAAAATCGCACAAACAAAGTTAACCTTAAAACCAAACAGCCAAAAAGATCCCACTGGCTCATCCAAAACTTATCACAGAGTTAAAAACTACCACAGTTTAAAACTCAAACAAATCCAAACAAATCTAAACGAAAGGGGTTGAAAACAAACAAAAACCGGGAGGACAGCAGAACCCCTGCACTGCTGCCTCCCAGACTGCTGAAGGCACAGCCTTTTTATACTGGTGTTTGCTCATCAGGAAGATTTAGCTCAGCTGTGCTCCTCAGCAGCCCGGGAGAGAGGAGGAGGAGGGGCGGTGTCAGGCTCATTCACTAGAGCTGGATGATCCTGGCTCCTGCTCTTCACTGGCCAGACTGGCAACCGTAACACATTAATACAACGGTTATGTGTGAGAGTATAAAGTTACAGCAGTTGGTAATTCATGAGTTTCTTTCTTTCCTACAGAAGTAATTCAAGTGGTGATGGTTAAAGAAGAAGCTCCTGAACATCAGAGTCCTGGTATGGACCAGCAGGACCCAGAACACCTCCAAATAAAGGAGGAACAGGAGGAACTCTGTATCAGTCTGGAGGGAGAGCAGCTCCATTTGAAGGAGGAGACTGATGCCAGGTTTTCATTCACTGCAGCTTCTATAAAGAGTGAGGATGATGAAGAGAAGCCTCTGTTCTCACAGCTTCATCAGCAGCAAATAGAAGACAGAGATGTTTCAACCAGCAGCTCTGCTGACCAGATGAAAGCAGAAACTTGCAGGAACTCAGATCTGAACTCTCATGAACCTGATTCTTCAGAAACTGAAGTTAGTGGAGATGAAGAAGAGGATGATGATGTGAATCTAGACTCTGAACTGTCAGACTCAGAGCCAGAGACTGGAGATGGAGACAATGACAGGAATAAGAGCAGGTCTGCGGAAACAGATGTTAAAACTGCAAACAAATCCTTTAGCTGCCATGAGTGTGGTAAACGATATTTGCACAAGCGGTCTCTCCAGAGACACGTGAAAGTGACGAGTCATTCAGCAATAATATCTTCAGGCTGTTTGAGTAATAAGAAATGTGTTGGAGTGAAGCAACATGTAGACTCGTGCAGGGAAGTCCAGACAGAACAAAAATCATTTAGTTGTAATGACCAAGGAAAAAGATTTACCAGAATATCAAATTTAAACACAAACAAGAGAGTCCACACCGGAGTGAAGCCTTTTCCTTGTGAGCAATGTAGGCAAAGATTTAGCTGCAAGTCAAATTTAAACGCACACATTAGAGTCCACACAGGAATGAAGCCTTTTGTCTGTGAGAACTGTGGACAAAGATTTAGACAAAAGGTTCATTTAAACAGTCACATGAGAGTCCACACCGGAGTGAAGCCTTTTCCTTGCAAGCTCTGTGGAAAAAAATTTAGCAGCACGTCAAATTTGAACACACACACTAGAGTCCACACAGGAATGAAACCTTTTATCTGTGAGCACTGTGGACAAAGATATATAATAAAGGCAAATTTAAACAGTCACATGAGAGTCCACACAGGAGTGAAGCCTTATGCCTGTGAGCTCTGTGGACAAAGATATCACCACAAGAAAAGTTTAAACTTGCACATGAGTGTTCACACACGTGTGGACACTCATGTGCAAGATAGGCCTTTTATTTGTGAACACTGTGGACAAAGATTTAGCTTCAAGAAAAATTTAAACACACACATGAGTCTCCACACACAGGGTTCGTACGGATGCTTGAAATCCTTGAAAGTGCTTGAATTTTAATAAGGTGTTTTCAATGTATGGAAAATGTTTAATTTCTGTATTAATTCCTTGAAAATACTTGAAAAACAAATTGCACAGTTTTGTATTTAAAATCAACCAAGGTAGTTTGTTAAAACCCTGTTATTTTTGTTACCGTCAAAAACTAGAGCGCGATCATTTAACCTTTAATTAACATGGTTGCTGCTGCTCCTTTCTATAACTCTGGCGTGTTAGTAGCAGACTCCACCTACTATAGAGACGAGCCGCTGGACCAGCGGTAAGAAATATCTTTGTACAAAATTTTGGTGCTTTCCCAATCAGAAGTGCCTGTTATGAGCAGCAAAGCCCAGCTCCTCCCACTGCTGCAGACGTAGGCTGCTCTTTCTCTCGCAAAAGTCTACAAAACATCTCTGGGTTTGTGGAGTCGGACTAATAATAACACCAAAAAAAAAAAGTTTTGGCTGCATCTTGTGAAAATAAACCTCAACAGAGGTAAATATATATACTTGGACAAAATAGTTGGTACCCTTTGGCCAATGAAAGAAGAGCCCACAATGGTCACCGAACTAACTCGAGTCTGAAACTAGTGATGAATACAAATTCTATTTAGTTTATCTAATAAAAGTCAGACATTGCTTTTCAACCATGCTTCAACTGAATTCTTTTAAAAATAAACTCATGGAACCGGCCTGGGCAAAAATGCTGGTACCCCTAAGTTAATATTTTGTTATACAACCTTTCGAGGCAATCACTGCATAAAAAAAAATCCTGTAACTTTCAAAGAGACTTCTGCAGTATTTTGGCCCTCTCCCCATGAGCAAACTGCTCCAGTTATCTCGGGTTTGAAGGGCGCCTTTTCCAGACGACTTGTTTCAGCTCCTTCCAAAGATGCTCAACGTGACTGAGGTCAGGGCTCATTGGCCTTTTTTAAAAGACACACCATGCTGTCAAATCAGTGTAATACTGCCACCATGGTGTGTCTTATGAATGTGCCGTGGGCGATGTGGGAATTTTGCAGCATTTGTGCTGTCACCCTTGGTAGTTATATTGCTGCAAAGTCGGACTTGTGATTGCATATTACATCCTGGAGTAACAAAGAGGGGCGGCATGATCACATGTGGAATTAATGCCGAGCTCCAGCTGACTACAATATTGACCCAAAGCAAATGTGGCGATAAGTTTTGCTTTACTGGAGCGATGAAGAGCTCTGGGAGCTGACATAAGTAATAATAAATAAAAATTATATGAAATATAACCAATGAAAGTTAGACATTGTTTTTTTAATCATGCTTCAACAGATTTTAAAAAACTCATTAAACAGACATGGACAAAAAAGATGGTACCCCTACAAAAGACTGAAAATAATGTGACCAAAGGGACATGCTAATTTAAGGTGTGTCCACTAATTAGCATCACAGGTGTGTATAATCTTGTAATGAGTCAGTGGGCCTATAGGGCTCTTTAGTCACTGTGTTTTTTGGTGTGAAATGCCCACGGTCTTTTGACATGTTTGGTTGTGTATCCTCTGTATTCTGGTTAAATTAGTCAAACTGACATCCAGGTCACATGACGAACATTGAAACTTAATTAAATTTTTTCAATCTCTACGGTGAGGTCTGGCTTTACTAAAGGTCCTCACACATGTTATGCTGGTCTTTACTTCCTGCCACTTTAAATCTTTTTGCCCAAGTGTGTCTCATATTAAATAAGTAGCAAATAAGATGAATCAATAAGGAAAGACACAAATTCACTGGTGTTTGTTAAAATATCTTTTTGTGTTTGGTTACATTTGATCTGACTGAGGGTGGTTGAGCAAAAATCCCGTGACCATACCAGGTTCTGACCGCTAGGGGGCGCCACCTGTAGGTGGTCCGCTCAGTGTAAGTTGGTGTGGAGTTTGGGTGACAGGGACTCTGGGGGGAGATAGTATGATAGAAGGTGGAACAAGCTTCTTGGAGGGTGGTGATGGCCTGCCTTTCTCCAAATCTACCTCTTCTAGACCTCCTGGGGGGCAAAGTCGGACACTCTGTTTTCAGACACAGTTTAAAGTAAAAGAAAAATATCCAAATTAAATTGGGCCGATACTTGTGCTATTCTGTTAAATGTTATTTGCTACAGAATATATATTAAACAGAGCCTAAAAGGGTATAAAATGAAGAAAAAGGTACTATGATACTTCTGTGACCAGTGTGGGGTTTTTCTTTCATTGGCCAAAGGGTACCAACTATTTTGTCCATGTTTCTAAAATGGCTCAAGATCTACTAAAGCAACTAGTACAACAGTCTGGAACAGCCATCTTAGTCCCCAGACCTGAATATAATTGAAAACGTGTGGCGTGAGCTAAAGGAGAGCTGTCTATGCTCGGAAGCCATCAAACCTGAATGAACTGGATGTTTTGTAAAGAGGAATGGTCCAAAAAACCTTCAACCAGAATCCAGACTCTCATTGGAAGCGTTTAGAGGCTGTTATTTCTGCAAAAGGAGGATCTACTAAATATTGAGTTCATTCCTTTTTTGTGGTACCCAAAATAATGCACTTATCTAATTATGTTTAAACAATTATTGCACAATTTTTGTAAATCCTTTAAACTTTGCTTCACCTCTCAAAAATCACTGTGTGTGTCTCCTATATGATAAATGTAACTGACAGTTTTTATCATAACAACCAAAAATTTATTCAGGAAAATGAACAAAGTTGCCCATCCCTCTAGGACAAAAAAATGTGAATATGATAAGTCAGAATTTTTAGGTTAGATCTGACTTTTTTCAGAGAAGTCAGTGACCTTTTGACCTCTTCCCTAAATATCCATTGCAAGAGCTTTGTCATCTTTGAAAGAGCATAATTTTATTCATATTAAGTTGGAAAATTCAGAAGAAAAAAAACTTTAGCAAAAAGAGTTTGGGTGTTTTTTAAATTAGACGTTACTAGTGGGAAATTAAGTAAAAAAAATAATCTAAAAAATAAATAACTGGTCTTTTTAGTGTAATTTTGTTACTGAAATTCAGATGAAGCTGACATTGGTTCCTATCTGGTTTCTGATTAGGAAAGATGTCCACCCATTTTTTCCCACTCAGGAACATCTTTAATCTGATGCTATTATAAAACTACAACACCAGTGGGCCCCCAGTCTGGGGTCTGTGACCCACCAAGGGAATCCCCACTATTTAGTCTGTGCTGAACTTTTGAAGTTACCAAGATTTTATCTGTAAAATTGTCATTAATTAAATCCTGATAACACACCCAATCGTATAATAAAAGCTCTGTTTCTGAGTTATAAGTCTGTTTGTAAAGGGAGCTGGCTCGTCTTGAACACAGACAAGGGCTCTTTGTGGAGAGAAGCTTTGGATCCACTGACCTAGACAAACCTGGGGTAGATTGTTCTGCACTGATAGCAGAATCTGTTTAACAGTTTGTAATTTGTCAAACTTTTATTTGATTTGTGAGAAAAAAAAGTTTTACCTTTTTTCAATATATGGGAATTAAATTGTGTTAAAATGTACAAAACTGCTAAACGTAGAATGTATGGCTGATCACTCTGGGTGCCCCTAAGCCCCGATGCTAGAATCGCCCTTGAGAAGCTTGTTCCAAAAGAAGTAATCTGGTAAAGTTTAGGATTCGACACCGATGATGTGATAAGAACAAAAGACAAACTGCAGAAAGACTGTAGCACCCAGTCAAGGTAACACACCTTCCACCTACAGTGCAACCACACTTTCTAGAGAGCCCGACTACCTAACGACTTAAATGTGATGCAGCTCTGTAATATCCAGATGCAGACTATAAAAGCCAGCATGAAATTATGGAAATGCCTCAAAGAAAATCAACACGATCCATTAGGTGTCCCGGAAGGCTCATATCTGAAGACAGTGACCACGAAGAAGGACAGATCTCCAGTGAACCAGGACATGAACATTTGTTCAGTCTTTATATTTTATTTTTTTTATTTGAACAACCCTCAACTATTTGCTAATTGTAAGATTTAGCTTCATTCCAGCATTATTTATCTTTTTACAATAAATAATTATTTTTGCTAAAACAAAAGTTTTTTGTATAGCAGTGCACGGTGTGCCAGAGAAGTACCCCATGGCAGTGGGAGGTGTGCAGGACTCTGCCTGCAGAAGGAGAAAAACTGCTTCAAGGCCTACCGCATCAAATAAAAACGTCTGAAAGTTTACAAAAATAAATGGTCTTAAAAACTGCTAAAAAAATACCAAGGTTCAAACTTTTTTAAGAATAGATGCATTACAGTTCAATGTTTAAATTGTTTGCCCAGTAATTTTGAAGTTCCTGTTCAGTAATAAATGTAAAAATTTCTAATCCGTTTTTGCTTTTTTCACTTTTAAGCTGATTTTTTTAAAGGCTTTAATATAAGTAAATTCTAAATACAAACCATGAAAGCTGAGGTTGTTCTGAAAAAAGGAGAGTTACACACACTTTGCACTTTTTATTACAATTTTACAGCCATAAGATTATAAAAATACCAGGCGGCCCTGTTATAATTATGGTCATAACAGGGTTATTAAGACAGCGAAGTGATTGGTAGTCATTCCACTCCAATCCAGTTGGTGGCGGTAATGCACCAAACTGTTGTTTGCCAAGTGCCTTAAGACCACAAATAAGAATAAGAAGACAGACGGGAGCGTTCGTAACAAACTCAAAGCAATAGTCAAAACATGAAGCATGAAATGGAGTTATCCTAGTGGCTCCAATAAGAGAAAGAGGCAGCATGCTTCATAAAAGCTTTTATTTTCACTTCTGAAAGTGAGTCGTTTTTCTATGTAAACATCAAAAGGAAGCAGAAAGGAAAGACAATGGAAAATGTTTAAAGGGAGGAAAACATAGACCAAAATGGGAAATAGGAAAAAAAAACTAAGGCTAAAGAACAGGAGCACTGACAGGAAGAAGAAAGCAGAGCAAATGTTGAAGGCACTCAAAGGGAGAGAAAAACAGGAAAAAAGAGGAGGACTAATAAAAAGGGAAAATAACTCATGTCAGAAGAGGGGAGAGTTTCGCAAATCCAGTTAAAGGTAAGATTGTCGAAAATTTTGTGTAAGGGGCTCCATGTCTGTGTTCGCCTTGGGCCCCCAAATTGCTAAATCCGCCCCTGGTCGTAATACACCGACAACATCGTTAGCCAAATCAACGCAACCACAACAAAGAAACCAGATGAAGCCGGATCTTGTTTCTGCTAGCAAGCTGCGCGCACATCCGCTTTGTTTACAAACAAATAAGGGGTGTATACAATTAAATGTTAAACTCGAACCGGGAGACGAGGAATTCACTCCGCGGCTAGACAGGAAAAAGCCAGTGGCTATTCAAAATAAAATAAAATGTAAACATTTCATGATATTTAAATTAATTTCAAACACGTTTATGGTTAGTAAACGTGCGCAAATATAGACTATATATCTCACGCTTTATATTGTTTTCCCATTATGTAACGGGTTACGATTTGTTAGGGTTGGATTTTTATGTTGAAGGAAGTGTTCTTTGCCGATTGTGTGGAGAGTTCCGGTTCGATTGTTTAGAAAAGAGAAAACGAGCCAGGTTGAATTGAGATCGTTAACATCTTCATCTCAAGGTTGGATTCGGGTCGAGAACGAGTCACGTGTGGACGCGTCTTTCTCACTCAGGCGACCAGGTCGACACACGCTGAGAGAAGGTTTGTAAAGTTGTGGACCGGTATGTTTGGTTGTGGTTTAACTCAGTTTAGGCTTGGGGGAAGTACGGGCCCGGTTACGGCAGTCCGGCTTCGCTTCGGCCTCAGTTGTGGTAGAGGATGGGGCGGAGGGGAGAGAGGCTGTTCACTCGGTTGTGTCGGGGACGGCGAAGCGGGACCGTGGGGGAAGTGATGGTGCTTCGGATAGTGATGTGGATTTGCAGCTGAAGCAGCTGAGGACTGCACAGGAGGGCTTTACGAGGCTGAAGTTAGCTTCCGATTCGGGAAAGGGCTAAAGGGCCATTACACACAATTTTTCTCTACTCTGAGCATCTTTAATCTGCTCTAGCTCAAAAACTACAACATCCACACAATTCAAACATATTCTAGATTATTCTACTATAAAAGCAGATAAAATAAAACACAGTGTGGGATTTGTGAAACCTTTCCCTGATTTGTGAAACTTCAACAAAGCCAGATTTATGCATTTTTCATGAGTTTAGCTTGATAGACTTTTTTTCCTCTGGACAAGAAAAAAAGTTACTGAAAATAATGTGAAAGATATATGAAAATATTGTGAAAGATAGGTAAAATTATTTTACATTAATTTTAGAAATATAATAAAAAGTGTCTGTGGGAGCTTTGAGACATCGCTAGCTTTCAACTGAGCTAGATACTTTAAGACAGGCTCAAGGCCCAGTTTACATTAAAAATAGTTACAAAAACAGTATTGTACATGATTGCGCCACATTTACACCATGGTCTGACCACTTAAAAACAACCTAAGGCTCCCTGATGCTTCCACGGGGTTGCAGCAAATTGACAGCATTGTTTTTGTAAAACAACTATAGTGCCTCCAGCGTGTCCTGGGTTTTTCCTTGGGTTTCTTCCCGGTTGGACATGCCCAGAAAACCTACTTGGTTGAGCAAACACACACGCACCCTCTAGGACACCCCTTAAGGGTATAGAGCTGATCCAGTGTTCCCCAGGACGAATCCACATTGCTCCTCCTGGATCCGAGGTTCGACAATCTGACATACCCTCTTCTTCAGAACTCTTGAGTAGCCCTTACCATGGAGGCTCAGGAGTGTGATCTTCCTGTAGTTGGAACACACCCTGCAGTCCCCCTTTTTGAATATGGAGACCACCACCCAGGTCTGCCAGTTCAGGGCAACTGCTCCTGATGTCCATGCGATATTGCAGAGCCACGTCAACCAACACAGCCCCACAACATCCAGAGCCTTAAGGAACTCTGCGGATCTCATCTCCACCAAACTTTCACAATACTTTTGGGCCCGCCAGGTTTGACTGGCATTCACCCCCACCATCGAAGCCAATTCACCAGCAGCTAGTGGTCATTTCAATGCTCTGCCCTTCTCTTCACCCAAGTGTCCAAGACATGCGGCCACAGATCAGATGAAATAACAAAGTCGATCATCGAGCTGCGGCCTAAGGTGTCCTGGTGCAGATTTACCGGTCGATCAGAGAAGAGCTGAACACGGCAGGATTTGGAGTCATATGTCCTGATATTTGGACATTTTGCCACGGATTGGATAACAGCACCGACACTTTTTTGCCCTGTGCTGCGGCGTGGATGTTTTATCTCCACAAAAAACTCAAAGCTTGAAGGAGTTCTGCCATGTGGTAGAGTTGCTAATGCTAAGGGTTATCCTCTGCTAATCGAGACATTCTCTGCCATTCCCTGGACCCTAAACCAACAACAAACATTCTCTCAATTACATGCACTGTTCTGATCTCACCAACTCAAAGCATTAATACAACTGTTATGTGTGAGTATAAAGTTACAGCAGTTGATAATCCATTTAATGTGTTTCTTACAGAAAATCTTCAAGTGGTGATGGTTAAAGAAGAAGCTCCTGAACATCAGAGTCCTGGTATGGACCAGCAGGACCCAGAACACCTCCAAATAAAGGAGGAACAGGAGGAACTCTGTATCAGTCTGGAGGGAGAGCAGCTCCATTTGAAGGAGGAGACTGATGCCTCCAGGTTTTCATTCACTGCAGCTTCTATAAAGAGTGAGGATGATGAAGAGAAGCCTCTGTTCTCACAGCTTCATCAGCAGCAAATAGAAGACAGAGATGTTTCAACCAGCAGCTCTGCTGACCAGATGAAAGCAGAAACTGGCAGGAACCCAGGTCTGAATCCTCATGAACCTGATTCTTCAGAAACTGAAGTTAGTGGAGATGAAGAAGAGGATGATGATGTGAATCTAGACTCTGAACTGTCAGACTCAGAGCCAGAGACTGGAGATGGAGACAACGACAGGAATAAGAACAGGTCTGCGGAGTCGGATGTTAAAACTGCAAACAAATCCTTTAGCTGCAATGAGTGTGGTAAACGATATTTGCACAAGCGGTCTCTCCAGAGACACGTGAAAGTGACGAGTCATTCAGCAATAATATCTTCAGGCTGTTTGAGTAATAAGAAATGTGTTGGAGTGAAGCAACATGTAGACTCGTGCAGGGAAGTCCAGACAGAACAAAAATCATTTAGTTGTGATGACCATGGAAAAAGATTTACCAGAATATCAAATTTAAACACAAACATGAGAGTCCACAACGGAGTGAAGCCTTTTGCTTGTGAGCACTGTAGGCAAAGATTTAGCCAAAAGTCAGATCTAAACACACACAAGAGGATCCATGCACGACCGAATCCTTTTCCTTGTGACCACTGTGGACAAAGATTTAGCTGCAAGTCAAATTTAAACGCACACATTAGAGTCCACACAGGAATGAAGCCTTTTGTCTGTGAGAACTGTGGACAAAGATTTAGACAAAAGGTTCATTTAAACAGTCACATGAGTGTCCACACTGGAGTGAAGCCTTTTCCTTGCAAACTCTGTGGAAAAAGATTTAGCAGCAAGTCAAATTTGAACACACACACTAGAGTCCACACAGGAGTGAAACCTTATGCTTGTGAGCTCTGTGGACAAAGATTTAGACAAAAGGCTAATTTAAACAGTCACATGAATGTCCACACAGGGGTGAAGCCATTTGCTTGTCAGTTCTGTAGTCAAAGATTTAGTGAAAAGTCGAATTTAAAAACACATATGAGGATCCACACAGGAGTGAAGCCTTTTGCCTGTGAGCTCTGTGGACAAAGATATTGCCAAAAGATAAGTTTAAACTTGCACATGAGAGTTCACATAGCGGTGAAGCCGTTTGCTTGTGAGCTCTGTGGACAAAGATTTAGCGAAGAGTCAAATTTAAAAACACATATGAGGATCCACGCAGGTGCGAAGCCTTTTGTTTGTGAGCTCTGTGGACAAAGATATCGCCAAAAGACAAGTTTAAACTTGCACATGAGATTTCACACACGTGTGGACACTCATGTGCAAGATAAGCCTTTTATTTGTGAACACTGTGGACAAAGATTTAGCTTCAAGAAAAATTTGAACGCACACATGATTCTCCACACACAGGGTTCGTACGGATGCTTGAAATCCTTGAAAATGCTTGAATTTTAATAAGGTGTTTTCAAGGTATGGAAAATGCTTAATTTTTGTATTAATTCCTTGAAAGTACTTGAAAAACAAATTGCACAGTTTTGTATTTAAAATCAACCAAGGTAGTTTGGTAAAACCCTGTTATTTTTGTTACCGTCAAAAACTAGAGCGCGATCATTTAAAGGGACTTTATGGACTTTTGAATTTTTGTGCTCGCGATTGCCCCATCAGGCCAAAAGTGTAACGGCAGCTTCAATAGTGGGCTTGTGCACGAGGCGCGCATGCTGTACGTGCACACTCCTTAACGAAAAAAACAGCTTAGACAGTCCCTTGTGTGTGTGGCCTGAAGGACAGAGGACAGGAGAACGTGCAGCTAATTAATTAAATAATTTGGTTCTGTACCTTTCTCTTCAGCACAGCCGACAAAGGTTTAAGATGGGTCAGTCCTCCTGCATGCTCAGATCATTCCCTTCCCTTGCTTGACAAATTGTTCCAAAATTAAAGTTGAACCCACATCTTTTTCATCTGTGAATTCAATGCCGTTCGGCGAGTCTCAAATAAAAATTTGGGCATCTTACTTTAAAAAATATACCATTAATGTAAAAAAGAAACTAAATGAACTATGTCCACATCCAGAATTGAACCTGCATGGGAGTCAGATATCTTAAAAGGTGAGCTACACTCTAGTAATGTTTATAGTATCTGTAACTTTTATATCGTTGATGACACCTGAAACAACGTCAAACCAAAGAACGGTTTGAAGCGAAAATGGCTATTTTGTTGCTAATTTGCAGGAAATATCCAGAAGAAAGTTCTACAGAAAGTAGCTAAGAGTCCTCAGAAATGTAGCTAGGTTCATCACTAGGCGTTAAGAACAGCGACAAAGTTGCTGAGTTGGCGCTACCTCTCTCTCTGCTGCTAAAGCTACGGATAGCAAATGCTACGGGCTATGCCTGAGCGTGAACGCGCATGAAGCAGCCTGCTTGACCCGAGCAACTCTCTTTTTCTGTGATTTTACAGAAAAACAGGGAATCACAGTAAAAATGCCAGGGCTCATTCTACAGGACCAGGACATTGCAGGAGAATGTATGAAGAAGACATTTATTATTTCTATACATGTTTTGGCTGTCAAACTTCCTTACAGTCCCTTTAACCTTTAATTAACATGGTTGCTGCTGCTCCTTTCTATAACTCTGGCGTGTTAGTAGCAGACTCCACCTACTATAGAGACGAGCCGCTGGACCAGTGGTAAGAAATATCTTTGTACAAAATTTTGGTGCTTTCCCAATCAGAAGTGCCTGTTATGAGCAGCAAAGCCCAGCTCCTCCCACTGCTGCAGACGTAGGCTGCTCTTTCTCTCGCAAAAGTCTACAAAACATCTCTGGGTTTGTGGAGTCGGACTAATAATAACACCAAAAAAAAAAAAGTTTTGGCTGCATCTTGTGAATATAAACCTCAACAGAGGTAAATATATATACTTGGACAAAATAGTTGGTACCCTTTGGCCAATGAAAGAAAAGCCCACAATGGTCACAGAACTAACTCGAGTCTGAAACTAATGATAAATACAAATTCTATTTAGTTTATCTAATAAAAGTCAGACATTGCTTTTCAACCATGCTTCAACTGAATTATTTTAAAAATCAACTCATGGAACCGGCCTGGGCAAAAATGCTGGTACCCCTAAGTTAATATTTTGTTATACAACCTTTCGAGGCAATCACTGCATAAAAAAAAATCCTGTAACTTTCAAAGAGACTTCTGCAGTATTTTGGCCCTCTCCCCATGAGCAAACTGCTCCAGTTATCTCGGGTTTGAAGGGCGCCTTTTCCAGACGGCTTGTTTCAGCTCCTTCCAAAGATGCTCAACGTGACTGAGGTCAGGGCTCATTGGCCTTTTTTAAAAGACACACCATGCTGTCAAATCAGTGTAATACTGCCACCATGGTGTGTCTTATGAACGTGCCGTGGGCGATGTGGGAATTTTGCAGCATTTGTGCTGCCACCCTTGGTAGTCATATTGCTGCAACGTCGGACTTGTGAATGCATATTCAATTCAATTCAAAAATACTTTATTAATCCCAGAGGGAAATTGATTGCTGTAGTAGCTCAGAATAATAATAAAAATCAAGTCATCAAAGAGTTATTGTATATTACAATGGCTGTTGGCAGCAGAGCCGGATTAACGCAAAGGCAAAGTAGGCACGTGCCTAGGGCCTGATTGGCTGGATGGGGCCCAGACAGAGGAACAAAATTAAAAATAAATAAATTAAAAATTAAATGTACAAATGTCCTATGATAGAATTTGTAGCTAGGACTCCTATCTACAATTTGTTTCAATATTTATTTATTAACTAAAAATAGTGACAATGTTTATCTTAACCATAGACCGTTTCAATGGCTACAGTCACATTAAACCTCTGGGGACGAGTATACGCGTCTTTTGAACAGGTCTTATTTGGGACGCTGTAGCAGCAAGACTCCGCCTCACTGAGTTTCGGTTTCAATTTGGCTTTAAAAAGGAGATTATAAACTACACCCCACTTTTTAAATTTTGTTAATAGGCAACGTAAAAGCGGAGTTAAACTAAACTAAAAAACGACCTATTTTTAGACAATCTGATAACTTGTCAAAACAGCAGTTTAGTAATCCGTGAGCGGGAATGTGCTTGTGAACATAAAAAACCCACACAAAAACATGAGATCCTTTTGCTGTTGGTAAAAAGTATCATGTTGTAGCTGAGAGAGAGAGGAAGGCTGCACGAGTAATGAGATGTGCGCAAAAAGGAGCCGCTTCGCGGGGAAAGGAGTGGCGCGAACGGAGTAACAACAAACAGACAGATATTGACGGTAAACTTCATATTGTGGAGCGATCCGGACAGATATATTGTCGCTGCAGTTTAGCAGGCTTTTACTAGGCTTTAATAAAGGATGATGAGAAGGATAAATGTAAACCAGGCAGTTCAGATAGTACAGCTGTTTTTGAACTGGAAGCAGAGGAAGTGGACGGAGACTCGCAGCCGGAGTCTGAGGCAAACAGCGAGGATGTTGATGACGATGTGGCAGATCCATCCTTCCTCATAGAAGAGTTGGGTCATGATGAGGTAGAGGATGAAGGCAGAGATCCAGCTCCTCGGAGATCCAACAAGAGGAGTGGGCGGCGCCGCGCAGCTGTCAGATCTCGGCGTGAGACAGAGCCACTCCCCACTCCAAAATCCATGTATATTATTGCCAAATTAATAAAATAAGTATAAATTCAGATAGTCCAGGTTGTCCTGAAAATAATGATACCCCATAAGGCAATATTTATTGTTTTTATTAGAAAATACAAAAGAAAAACCAAAATGAGTCAAAAACGGTGATTTACACTCTGGATCCCAGAGGGCTAATAATTTTTTTAAATTAGTTATTTGCTATATTTAGTCATAATTTTTATAAATGTACAGTCTAGATTACCATTCTAAATGATAAAAACATTCGTCATAAATGTTTGTTGGTTTCACAGTAAAATAAACAACTTTTTTCCAATTCAAATTTTATGTTTTTGAGTGATTTAAGGTCTAATATGCAACCCCTTTATGTCCAAATATACAAAATAAGTATAGATTCATAAAGTCCAGGTTGTGCTGAAAAGATTGATACCACATAAGGCAGTGGTTATGGTTTTTATTTTGGAAATAATACAAAGGAAAACTCACGGCAAATTACACCCTGGACCCCAGAGGGTTAAGGCACCACCCAATGAAGGACGTCAGAGTCAGAGCGGGACACAACAAAGCTAGCAGGTGTTTTTGAGTAGGCTAACTTTCAAGATGCTTTCGGGTGTGGCAAAACGTAAAAAAAAAAAGAAAAAAAAAGAAGAGGAACTAAAGAAGAGACAGCGGGGGGCTTTACAGAAGTTTCTGTCGGGCTGCTCGGGAAACCGTCCGACAGCTGTGAACCTGCTCGAGTCAGCAGAGCCAGAGGCCGGGCCCAAGTCCGACCCGGAGGAGACACGACCCGAAGACGTGGTGGAAGATGCGGCGGAAGACGCTGTAGAGCCAACGCCGTCAACATCAACGCCTTCACAGAAGGACAAACTGGAAGAACAGCAGCCAGAAGTGAGCCCAATATAGTCTTATAGGAGCCTCAAGACCCAGAAAGGGTATTAACAACTAGCTACCCATCTGATCCTGCAAAGTGGTACCAAACTGATGACAGGATGCGTGAGTACTTTGCACTAAACCATCCCTCTCAAAATACTGGATATTCTTCGGCATCACAGAGGAAATCTGGAGACATGAACCGAAGCTTAACCAAGGAACATTTCTTCAGACGTGTTTCTGCTGTGATTGAGGCCTGTGTTGCTGGAAGGCTGAAGATTATTCATTAGTGGAGCATGCTAAATGGTTTCCTTGGTAAGTGTTGCTGGTTTTATTAATTATTTGTCAAATATTTTTTATTAATGTTCAAATAGCAAAACAATAAGTTCACACTCAGAAAATTGACACAGAATTTCTGATTCAGCAGAGGCAAAAACAGCCTGAATGAGCATAAAGCAAGATCAAAACTTAAGATAATGTTTTCATTTTATTAAAATACTTTCTTTTAAGATTATAGATTGTATAAAATTTATACTGTAATAATTTAAGCTGTGTGTTTATAGTTTGTTTTCGAGCCTTTAAAACATGCTTCAGTCCATTCAAATGAATCCATTTATTCTTGAATGTCTTTCCACCATCATGTGATTAATTTGTCATAATTTATAAATGTTGTAAGCTATTGTATTTAGCAGAAAATCTTTTTAATTAAATGTAGTGATTAAATATAAACAGAGCAAATAAGAGACACATATTTGCTCTGTTTACATAGTTTAATGACACCTAGTGGTTATATACTGGTACCGCCTTGACAATGACACTTCCAATCGATAAGATGAGGATCATTTATTAGCATTTAATACAGCTGTGTAATGACGTATAAATTATTAATATTAAAAATTTGTCTGATAGAATGTTTTACATACAACACATGACTTATTTTGGCATACAAACAACCAATTTGTAACCAAAGACTAGGCTACGTAAAATGTGAATGAACTTTTATAAGTAAATTTGGTAAGTTTCAGATTTCAATTCATTAAATAACATCGATGGGGGGGGGGGCCTAAAAATGCAGCCTGCCTAGTGTAGTCCATTTATTTAATCCGGCTCTGGTTGGCAGGAAGGATCTCCAGTAGCGGTCAGTTTTGCAGCGAAAATGAAGAAGCCTCTGACTGAAGACACTCTTCCGTTGTCGGACAGTCTTGTGAAGAGAATGCTCAGGGTTGTCCATAATTTTCTTGATTCTCTGGAGAATCCTTCTTTGCATTCTCTCCTCCAGTGGTTCCACAGTCGTCCCCAGAACAGAACCAGCCTTTTTATTAGGCTGTTGAGCCTTTTCAGGTCCCTGCTTCTGATGCTGCTACCCCAACAGACGATGGCTGAAGAGATTACACTCTCAACAACAGACTTGTAGAAGATCTGCAGCATCTTGCTACAGACATTGAAGGACCTAAGCGTCATCAAGAAGTGCAGTCTGCTGTGTCCCTTCTTGTAAACGGCTTCGCTGTTCTTTCTCCGGTCCAATCTGTTGTCCAGGTGAACTCCAAGGTATTTGTATTCCTCAACCACCTCCACTTCTTCTCCCATGATGGAAACAGTGTTTGACTCCACCCTGTTTCTTCTGAAGTCTAAAATATATTACGCCCTGGAGTAACAAAGAGAGGCGACATGATCACATGTGGAATTAATGCCGAGCTCCAGCTGGCTACAATATTGACCCAAAGCAAATGTGGCGATAAGTTTTGCTTTACTGGAGTGATGAAGAGCTCTGGGAGCTGACAGAAGTAATAATAAATATGAAATATAACCAATGAAAGTCAGACATTGTTTTTTAATCATGCTTCAACAGATTTTAAAAAACTCATTAAACAGACATGGACAAAAAAGATGGTACCCCTACAAAAGACTGAAAATAATGTGACCAAAGGGACACGCTAATTTAAGGTGTGTCCACTAATTAGCATCACAGGTGTGTATAATCTTGTAATGAGTCAGTGGGCCTATAGGGCTCTTTAGTCACTGTGTTGTTTGGTGTGAAATGCCCACGGTCTTTTGACATGTTTGGTTGTGTATCCTCTGTATTCTGGTGAAATTAGTCAAACTGACATCCAGGTCACATGACGAGCATTGAAACTTAATTAAATTTTTTCAATCTCTACGGTGAGGTCTGGCTTTACTAAAGGTCCTCACACATGTTATGCTGGTCTTTACTTCCTGCTACTTTAAATCTTTTTGTCCAAGTGTGTCTCATATTAAATAAGTAGCAAATAAGATGAATCAATAAGGAAAGACACAAATTCACTGGTGTTTGTTAAAATATCTTTTTGTGTTTGGTTACATTTGATCTGACTGAGGGTGGTTGAGCAAAAATCCCGTGACCATACCAGGTTCTGACCGCTAGGGGGCGCCACCTGTAGGTGGTCAGCTCAGTGTAAGTTGGTGTGGAGTTTGGGTGACAGGGACTCTGGGGGGAGATAGTATGATAGAAGGTGGAACAAGCTTCTTGGAGGGTGGTGATGGCCTGCCTTTCTCCAAATCTACCTCTTCTAGACCTCCTGGGGGTCAAAGTCGGACACTCTGTTTTCAGACACAGTTTAAAGTAAAAGAAAAATATCCAAATTAAATTGGGCCGATACTTGTGCTATTCTGTTAAATGTTATTTGCTACAGAATATATATTAAACAGAGCCTAAAAGGGTATAAAATGAAGAAAAAGGTACTATGATATTTTTTATGCCAAAACGGCCTTTGACCACATGTCTCTGAAGGTCTGAGGTCATCTCTGCTTTTGTTTTACCTTTCTGTGGCCTTACTAGCGCTCTGTAGAATAATGATGCACTACACATTAGTGATTATTAGGGTTACTAGCAAAGAGGTAACGGCCAAACCAAATAGTTCAGAATCACTTCATATGATGACTGACAGAACTACAGCAGTAACACACATCCGCTCACACAAATGTCAGAAATGTAGACGGTAGAGATGGAGGGATTAACACTAAACTCCATGACATTAATTCCACGCTGAGTGGAAAAACCTACAGAATTATGGAAGCAGAAAAGTTGCAACCCTACCACGTGGACCTCCGTCTGCTCCCAGTTGTAGTCCAGAATGTGTTGATGGCCTGGTGGAGGGCCATACCCTGAAGAGAACTGGGCCAGTAGCAGTTATCACCAAGCGTGAGCACGAGCTCCATCTGCCGGGTTTGGATAAATTCAACTACTGAATATTTGTCTGGAAAAGAAAAACGTATCATCTTCTTGATCAGTGGAGGGGCATAGACCTGAGAAGGCACAGGGTAATGAGGCAGCATAGAAGTGTATCTAAGGGCATTTACCTTAGGATGACAGTCCACAGCGCTCTGAACCAATGTCTGATGAAGAACACCGTGCCATAAACTCTCCATCAACAGCGAGCTGTAGACAGCGTGTGGTTTGTTTGGCTGGGGTGCTCGGTCGGTAGAGCTGAGGAAAATAATCTAATATTTGATGCATTAAGATGCGGGCATAAACGATTATTGTGCTGGCTTGCTCTAAGTGGTCGTTAGATGTCTCACGCGTCTGCTTGATCAGGAATCCTCTGGGTCGCTGCTCTGCTCTAAACTTTGCATCCGGCTTCGTAGCTTTTATTATTTGGGGACCTGTGTTCATGTTTTTAGCTAGCCTTTTCACCATGCCCAGCAAAGTCCTGTTTATCCTGTTTGTGAAGAGACGGGCCAAAACCCTCTCCTGCATAGTCAGGAAACAGCTGCAGAAAGCAGCAAGGCTAACACGGCCAGAGTGCAATCCTCTGAGTAGAGGATGCAAGTGCATCATGAATTTAGCTTAGAGGCCAGTTAAAAGGTTGTAGTTTTAACAACTCACTCTGGTTTGTTTGAAAAAACTAAATCTAATAGTGCTTTACTAGTTTGGGTGATTCTTGTTGCCTTGGTGACCATTTGATGCAATTTATGTTTAATGCAATCATTCTGAGTTTTCCTTTTTCCTACTATCCAGCCAATTTCTATTAAAATCTCCCATTAAAATAGTTTCAGCTCGTGCATTAAGTGACTTCAATAATTTATCAAGATGTTCATAAGATACAGTATGAGAGGGTGGATCATGTAAAATCATTATGTTAAATTTCATTGTAAATGAAAGCACAGCACTCTAAACCACAAGTGTCCAATTCAATAACGGATCATTTAAAAGTCTCTCTTATGTAAATCAATACATGCAACAGTTCAAACTGAGTGGCACCATCTTGGCAGACAGTTGCCCGCAGTTAGGCTATTGATATTTGCAGAAAACCCAAACTAGAAACATGGTAGAGACCTGTGGTGCCCCAGGATGCTATAACAGACGCGGACGAGATAAGGGAAGAGCCAAATTCCCCAAGATCCAGAACACAGCAAACGTTGGATCATTGCAATAAAACGCGCTAGTGACCGGGCTAAAATGAAACTGTGGGATCCCGGGAGCCAAGGTTTTTGCTTACGCAGCGAACACTTCATATCATACCAACGTTTCCTCAACTGTATATGGTATTTATTTTAAATGCTTTTATTACTATTCTTGGTGGGCTTCCTAAACATATTTTGACGTGACATTTTCTGTCTTATTGCTCATAGCAATAAGTAAATATCACTTAAAACTTTGCCTTATCGTTCATGATTTCTGCTGCTGTGTACATAACCCTGCTTGATTCAGGCCCTGTCCACACGTAGCCGGGGATCTGCCAAAACGTAGATATTTTTCTACGTTTTGGCCTGTCATCCACATGAAAACGGAGTTTTTTCACACGAAAACGGATCTTTTTAAAAACTCCGGCCAAAGTGAAGATCTGCGTTTTCTCCGTTTTGGGTGTCTGCGTGTGGACAGACAAAACCGGAGTTTTAAGGTCCGCAACGTCACTTTCCACGACAAAAAATGCTGACATCACGTGTGCGACCTGTGTTTACACTAGCCGACAGCATGGATGTCCTCAGAGCTGCGCTCGCTTTATCAATTGTCCAAGCGCTTTTTGCTTGTTTGTGTTTGCAAGCGGAATTACTGCTCCTTGCGGAAGACCGCAGGAAGACGAAAAGTTAAGCTGACTGGATACAATTCAGGGGAAGTACTGCCGCCTACAGGTCTGGCATGTCCTTAACAACGTATTTATCCGGGTACGTGTGGACAGTTTTTTTTTAAATGAGTTGGTGTGGATGCAAGTTTTTGGAGGGGCGGATATTCGTTTTTTTAAATACCCGGCTACGTGTGGACTAGGCCTCAGTTTGTATTCATCCTGGCTTTTGTATGTTCACGTTACTTTTGTGCTGCAGGTCCAGAGACTTTTGCATCCTGTTCCATTGCAGAAAGTTTAATATTTCCAACGTTTACTGGTGAAGGATTTAGTGCATGATGAGTCAGCTTTAATGTAATATCTCCATCCTGTGCAGGAATAGTAGACATCCTCAGCACTTCAACACTATTTGTGAGTAGATTGTATACCAGTAGAAGAATCCCAACTGTTGTTGCCAGACGGACCAGGATTCAGTTTAACATCGCCACTCAAGAGGAGTAGATGGAAAAGTAATGATCCTGCAATCCTTCTGCCTTTAACATGTTGGACTTCAGCTTGATGTGGTTTTTCAATTAATGAAGTGTTCATCCGACTACTTGGTTTTTCACCATCAGGCATTGTCCAAGTGGAAAACAGAGAAGCCACCCGCAAAGTAGCCAAACAAAGACATACCTTGTGTGTCCTGTCTCTTCCCTTTGGTCAGTGTTTTGTAGCTTATATCCTTGAGCACAACGGGAACGTGGTAGTTTAAAAACAAAGAAAAAATCCTTGAAGAACTGGAGAAGCTGCAAACAACTTGGCCATGTGTTGGAAGTATCCTGTCTTTGCTTTGATCTGAAGTTGGAATTCTTGGATCATTTATCCTGTTGATCGTTCTCATAGATGCAAAACTGCACCAGTTTGCACAACTTCAATCAACATTAGCCAAAAAAGCTTACACACAGACGAAAATGAAAGAGTAGCTGTGGGGCCTAACAAACCACCACTGCTCTTAGCAGCCATCTTGCCACGTCAGTGATGCAAATTAGTAGTCCTGGGGTCTCATTTATAAAGCGTGCTTACGCACAAAATGGGACCAGAAAACTGCATAAGCAACTTTCCACGCAAACGTTGGTATTTATTTTAAAAAAAAAAACCTAGAGGAAAAATGTGCACAACTTTAAGTTGACTAAGGACCTGACTTACACACATTTTGGACATTGAGAATGCAGTGCTGCTGCTGAGATGGATAAAATTATGAATCCCAGCAGCATTACCACTTGTACCGCTTCTGGCGCACACAGAACAAGCACCTAACTCGGTTCACGCTCCAACATTTTATGATTGAGGGTGACGGGTGTATGCCCCTTCGTCCCAGTTGATGGCGTCACTGCCACGCTTCTGGATCTCAATGGACTCCCCGATACGCCAATTGGGACCCAGAACTTGCAGTGCCAGATGTGAACCGGTACCCCTGCTTAAGCCAGTACATGTGCAGGCCCGTCTGAAGTTTTCTGGAGAGCATTTGGATGATCCAGAAGAGGTTCGGGAGAATGTCATATGGTCAGATCAGATGAAACCACAATAGAACCTTTTGGTAAAATCTCTACTCGTCGTATTTGGAGAAGAAAGAAGGCTGAGTTACATCCAAAGAACACCATGCCTAATGTAAAGCATGGGGGTGGAAACATCATGCTTGGGGACCAAGACAACTCATCAAAGTAAAGGAAAGAATGAATGGGGACATGTATCATCAGATTTTGAGTGAAAACCCTTCACCAGCAAGGGCACTGAAGGTGAAACGTGGCTGGGTCTTCCAGCATGACTATGATCCCAAACACACAGCACAGGTAACGAAGGAGTGGCTTCATAAGAAGCATTTCAAGGTCCTGGAGTGGTCTAGCCAGTCTCCAGAAGTAGGAGGAGTTGAAAGCCCACGTTGCCCAGCAACAGCCCCAAAACATCAAGTGCTAAATGTACCGTACGTCCAGAACAAGGCTGCTTGTTTGGTTCTCAGATGTTCTGATGCTACTAGTTGCTGAAATGCACCACACATCATCATGGCCTCTAATAGTAAACTGCAGCAGAATCTACTTCTAACCCTAACTTTATTCATAAAGTCATTTTAATGGGTTGACCGGATTCATTTTTTGAAGTTTATGTACTCTGACCAGATACACACCCACTGTACTAGGTATGCATGTGATACCAAATTAAAATGGACCACTGCATTTTCTGTTGCTGCCAGGAATGGAATACACTACCCCAAATAGAAGGGTATGCATTCTCTTAAGTCATTAAAATATTACAGCAGTGGTTCCACCTAGACGTTTTCTGTTTATTGAAAGTTGGAACCCATGAGGCTAACCCGCTGGGTTCTGTCTGAAATGTGATTTGTTTGGTTGGATAAAGCCATAGATGTAATGTGGATTTTGTATATTTTGTGATTTGGACCCCAGGATGGCTTCGGTGGTGGAAGCTAATGGTGATCCTAACAAACATCACTGCTCTAGGAAATCTCCATGGAGGAATGGGCCAAAATACCAGCAAGTGTGAAAACATTGTGAAGACCTGCAGTAAAGTTGGACCTCTGCCATTGCCAACAAAAGATGCACAAAGTATTGAGATGGACTGTTGTTGATCAAATATTTATGTTCACCGTAATAAGATTATTTTTTTAATAAGATCTGAATTTCAGGGGTTTTTTTTCGTCTAGCGGTTGTTTACCTACGATGGAAATTATAGGCCTCTCATCTGTTTAAGTTGAAGTACTTCAGGCTAGAGATGTCAAGATACAACTTTTTCCACTTCCGATCCGATATTACAGCCTTGCGTACTGACCAATCCCGATATCAGCACAAATCATACACTTCTACCCATTTCGTAAAGTGGAATGTATGAAAGGCTTGATCAAGTGATATTACTCAATCAGAGAACAAGAGCCAGTAACCGCAAGTATGAAAGGCTTCTTTTTTAAAAATAACCATTGGTTGCAAAAATGTAAACCATAACTGCTTATATCGGAGATTTTTGATGCAGTCCGATATTATACGACGCTGTTTTTGGGCTGATATCGAATTACTTCAAACATCGATATCGAAATAGGACCTCCCCACTTCAGGCATCGTTGGATAACGACAACCAGAGATGAGTTTAAAGAAAAACATATCTTCAGAGTTTTTGATGTAATTTTATTGTTTGTAGTTTTTGGAATTCCATTTAATTCCCGCGGGGCCGCAAAGGATCAAAATCCACAAAGACGTGTTTCAGGTCCTTTAACTCTACAATTTGTGTTCCTCACCGCGGCTGCGACCACACCGAATATTGCGTCTCCGTGGAGATTCTGTCCACCTGCTACCCAATGGGGCAGAGTCGTTCGTAAACATTTAACTTCCCGTGAAAGAGACTGAAAACCGAGCTTAGACCGGCTCAACCAGACGATGTGGGACGTCTTAACTGTATTTCTAGTTAACCACTTGAACATGCTTTTACTTTGAAGCAAACCTTCTAACAGTGGCGGGCAAAGGCTACCCTCCCCCACAGGTGACACCGGGAACAATACAAAAAAAAAAAATTAATTCACAGGAGACAGGCAGTGATCGCCCAGTGTGCAGTTCCCCTTTGTTTAGCAGCTCAGTCCAAAAATAAAAGGATCTGTCTCTCCCCCCCCCCCCCCCCCCACTGCCCTCCCCCCACGAGCTGGGCGATGTTTAGACTCGCTTGTTGGGGAACGGTTAGAAAGAAATCGTCCAGATAAGACACGGAACGCTGATCAGACGGGATTCTCCCTTCTTTAAATACAGTCTTTAAGGTGGATGGCCAAAGTCCTCTGCTTATATCCAAACTGCCCCCTTAAGTCGGAACGTGGGCGGAGTTCTACAGCAGCAGGGTGGGGGTGGTGACGGGGTGAAGCCTGCCTCCATACACACTACAGATCAGAGCTAGAGGAAGAAGAGGGAGTGTATGGAAGAGATCCAGGAGCTCGACTTTCCTTCATGGGCGGGAAAATGGCTGGTGGTGTGGGAGAGGGATCAGGCGGCGTTTAGCAGGTCCTGGATGGCTTTCTGCTGCGTCTCGTTCAGGGTTGAAACACACTGAGTCCATAATCCCGCAGACACCTGCAGGGGGAACCAGCTGTTAAACTTCCTAACAAGAAGGAAAATAAAACTTCAGGAACGTTCTTGCTCACCTGAACCTGGCGGATAACGTTTGCGAGCCGTTTACTGCATGCATCTTCAGTTTTAACAGACTCGTTTGCAACGCCGTCAGCTATGATGAGGAAAATCTTAGGGAGGTTGGCGTTTTCCGGTCCGAGGACTATGGGGTTGTTACTGCAGGAGACAAGAAATGTTACTCGAACATCCAGGAACGCTGTGATCCTGATCCCAAGGAAGGTGGGCGATCACTTCCAACCTTTCAATGAGGTCACACAGGAAGTCAAAGGTGTGGACAGCTTCCTCTTTGTCTTCTTTGAGCGGGAGCCAGCTGAGCCAATGAGGAAGGACCTCACTCACGTTGACACACTCGGGCCGGAACCTCACGAGCTTCCCGACAGCAGAGATGCAGTTCTCCGTGGCGTTGACGTTCTCCTTTGAGCGGGAATCTGCTGCCTGGATGACTCCGACCAGCAGGGGGAGTGCCTCTGCAACAAGAAACCCAGATGAACGAAGCCGTTCCTGCTCACAGGAACAAAGCGCTTCCTGCTAGGGTCGCACCTGTGCAGAAGGGGCGATAACTCTCCCCGCCGAACTGAGCCATGACGCCAACGCCGTACGCCGCCGCCTGCCGTACCTCAGGGCTCGAGTCGCACAGAGACTGCAACATTGAGCGCAGGAAGTACTCTGCGTACTTAAAGGAGGAGGGGCTGCAGTGTTCGATTACATCGTCAAAAATACACAGCCCCCACTGTCTGTCAGCCCATGGCCTGTTGGGACACTAAGGACCAGCAGGACACCGTTAGCTTCAAAGGAGTCGGAGGATTTTTGGGCTGTTTTCCAAAAAGGAACTTACTATTAGCTGGACGATGAGCTGCAGCAGCTGCTCGAACCACGGCAGAACCTTCTCTTTGTAGCTGCTGAACACCGAGTGCAGGATGTCCGACACTTTGGTCAGGATGTACACGTCGTTCTCATCCTGCAAATGATGAGAGAAGAGAATAAAACACAGGAAAGCAGACGCAGGGTCCTGCATGGAGCCCCAGGTTGAGGGAGATGCCGCGTACTTGCACTCGTTAAAGTACTGTGACGCCACTGGAGTGACACCAGGAGCTCTCGCTCTCTCTGACGGACAGGATTAGTTTAGGAGTACTGGAATAACGTTTACACTCTGGGCATATGCAGCTCGTTTAATCATCTCCCGTCAGTCGGAGGTCGTGTCTCACCTCATCCTGCAGCGTTTCCTCCACCTGCTCGTCATAATCTTCATCTTGTCTCTTGGCTGGGAAACACAAAGCAGTTAGTTTCAGATCACAGCAGACCTTTTCCCTTCGTAACTACACTCAACAAAAATATAAACGCAACACCTTTGTTTCTGCTCCGAGTTTTCATGAGCTGGACGTAAAATTCATTCTAGATACACAATATTACCATTTCTCAAGCATTGTTCACAAATCAGTCTAAATGTGTGATGGTGTGCACTTCTGCTTTGCTGAGATAATCCATCCCACCTCACAGGTGTGCCACATCAAGATCATGAGTAGTGCACAGGTGTACCTTATACTGTCCACAATAAAAGGCCACCCTAGAATGTGCAGTTTTGTCTCACAGCAAAATGCCACAGATGCCACAAGCATTGAGGGAGCGTGCATTTGGCGTGCTGACAGCAGGAATGTCAACCAGATCTGTTGCTCGTGCATTGAATGTTCATTTGAATGTCCTCCACCATAAGCAGTCTCCAAAGGCGTTTCAGAGAATATGGCAGTACATCCAACCGGCCTCACAACCGCAGACGACGTGTAACCACACCAGCCCAGGACCTCCACATCCAGTAGGTTCACCTCCAAGATCATCTGAGACCAGCCACTCAGACAGCTGCTGAAACAATTGGTTTGCATAACCAAACGATTTCTGCACAAACTGTCAGAAACCGTCTCAGGGAAGCTCAACTGCATGCTCGTCGTCCTCGTCGGGGTCTTGACCTGACTCCAGCTCGTCGTTGTAACAGACGTGAGTGGGCAAATGCTCACATTCGATGGCGTCTGGCATGTTGGAGAGGTGTTCTCTTCACGGATGAATCTCGGTTTACATTGTTCAGGGCAGATGGCAGACAGTGTGTGTGGCGTCGTGTGGGTGAGTGCTTTGCTGATGTCAATGTTGTGGATCGAGTGGCCCATGGTGGTGGTGGGGTTATGGTATGGGCAGGCATCGGTTATGGCCCAAGAACACAGGTGCATTTTATTGATGGCTTTTTGAATGCAGAGAGATATCGTGATGAGATGCTGAGGCCCATTGTTGTGCCGTACATTGATGAACATCACCTCATTTTTCAGCAAGATAATGCACGGCCCCATGTTGCAAGGATCTGTACACAATTCTTGGAAGCTGAAAATGTCCCAGTTCTTGCATGGCCGGCATACTCACCGGACATGTCACCCGTTCAGCATGTTCGGGATGTGCTTGACAGGCGTATACGACAGCGTGTACCAATTCCCACTAATATCCAACAACTTTGCACAGCCATTGAAGAGGAGTGGGCCAGCGTTCCACAGCCCACAATTGACAATCTGATAAACTCTATGCGAAGAAGATGTGTTGCACTGCATGAGGCAAATGGTGGTCACACCAGATACTGACCGATTCTGAGTCCCCAGACCCCCAATAAAGCAAAAAAACTGCGCATTCCAGGGTGGCCTTTTATTGTGGGCAGTATAAGGTACACCTGTGCACTACTCATGATGTCAGATCAGCATCTTGATGTGGCACACCTGTGAGGTGGGATGGACTATCTCAGCAAAGCACAGGTGCTCACTATCACACATTTAGACTGATTTGTGAACAATGTTTGAGAGAAATGGTAATATTGTGTATCTGAAATGAATTCTAGATCTTTAAGTCCATCTCATGAAAAATCGGAGCAGAAACAAAGGTGCAGCATTTATATTTTTGTTGAGTGTATGTAATGATCACCTCCCACCTTGTCTGAGCTCCTGGTTCTTGAAGTGCTCCTCGAGCTTCCCCTTTAGGATGCCGCCCAGCTCCTCAAAGTGCTCGTTGTTCAGACACCCGTCTCCCATCAGCTCGATGCACTGAAACAAGCCAGATTTAACCACGGCTGTTGGGAACACCACATCATATTCAGACCCCACCTCCTCCCACAGCAGTAATCACCTTGGCGAAAGAGTGCATGACCTCTGACAGGACGTCGGAGTCGGGCTCGGTGCCGATGGCCTTGATGAGGGCGTCACACATGAAGTGCCACATCTGGGTGAGGTACTCGGGCCCTCGGACCCGGGCACACTCCAGCAGCAGAGGCATGGACTCGGCCGCCGCCACGCGCACACGTGACACGGTTAAAGAAACATTTGCTCCATTCAAGAGTTCGCGTTGAACCCGGCATTTCACACATCGACGTTTGAATCAGAAGGATATCATCGTGAAAGTAGAACTTCAGCAGAGGAACCATCAGCTTCACCACCTGCTCCGTGTACTCCACAAACCCCTCCTTCAGCTCCTTGGCGTAACACACCTGAGAAAAACCCAGGAGGACATTTTAGAAACCACTCAAGTCGACCAGTGATGACTCGCTCGTGTTGCGGATCAGCTCACCAACATCTGGCAGGCTGTGGCCTTCTCCTCCAGACCAGCCGTCTTGATTCCAAAGCTCTGCTGGTCTCCCAGATTCACGAACTCCCAGCCCTCGTCCTCCGATATGTTCTCCATGTCCTGAGCTACGGAGCAACCCTTCAGTCAGATCAGAACTGTGGAGTCTGATGTTTAAAGATGTGAGGAGTACGTACTGTCCAGCAGCGCCACCTCAGGCTTGATGGAGGCCGTCTTCATCAGCGGACCCATGACCACGGGCAGGTACTGCTGAAACTCCTTCCCCAGAATCTTACACATCCGCGCCCAGGCCGAGATCATGTACGAGATCTAAACCACAAACATGCCATTATGGATGACCTCCAGAAACGCCAGACAGAATCACCGTGAGTCCCTCTACCTGAGGATCGTCGTCCTCCAGGTCGTTGAAGTCCGTCTGGGTCTTGAGGAGCAGCTGCATCACCGCCGAGGCGTCGGGCATGAACTGGAACGGGAGGAGGACACGAGTGGGTACGAGCGTTCACACAGACTGGTCTCTACCGTGCGGCGGTCCGCCTACCTTCTCCTTGCCGACAGCCAGGCCGATTAAGCTGATGCACTCAATGGTTTTCCCGCGCAGCAGCCGCAGCTCCTTCTGCACGGCGTTCTCGACGATGTGTCTGAGCGAGGGCATGAAGAGGTCGTAATACGGCACAAACTTCTCCTCGGCCGTGTCGGCCACAGACGCGATGGACGTCACCACCTGCTCCAGGACCAGCTTGGTTCCCTTCTGGATCAGCTGATGAGAAACATTAGAGTTAGCGTCCGAGGCCGATGCAGGCGGACAGTCGGCATGTGTGGACCCATACCTCCTGCAGCTTGGCAACCATGATGACGTGGAGGTGCTGCACCAAGCTGTCCAGATAAGGGATGAGCAGCGATTTGGGACAGTCCTCTGTGAAGTTGATGAGCGCAGCAGCAGCGTGCGCCTGAACCCGAGGGTTACTCTGGTCCTCCATCGTCTGGAGCAGAGCAGAGATGACCTGGAAACCATAGCAACAGAACTTTAAACATCACAGCCTTCCACACCAACCGTCAGGAGGGAAAACACAAATCTCACATCCAGATACCTTATCATGGAACTTCTTTTGAAACGTTGGAGCAAAGTCGGTGGCCATCTGTCCAATCGCGTTGCAGGCAGCGTAGCGCACCCTCGGGTGCTGGGAGGGAGACAGAAGTGAAACGTAAGAACGTACACGTCAGGCTTAACCGGGCGTCTCTGTGGCGGTTTCATTTCTCACAGGGTCGGAGCAGAACAGGAGGACAAAGCTGACGATCTCCTGGAGGATGGCCTCCATCTGCTGGTGGCACCCCTCCCCGATGGCAGACAGAGCCATCAGTCCAGCGTGGCGGTACTTCCAGTCAGCTGTGAGGGTCATTATGAACCAGCCATTTAAACACGTCTATGTCACCTGGGTAGGGTTGGGCATCGACTGGAACGGTTCCAACTGTTAGTTTTTCCCGGAATTGTTCAATGTTTCATTTTCGGTTCCTAGAATGCCGACGGAAGAGGAATCCGCGGCCGATCTCCGTGGAAAATAAATGTGATCTGCAAATTGTGATCAACGCTTTTCAGAGCTGATCACACCAGCTGTCTGTGTGCAGCACGAGTCCCCCACCCAGATATAAACAAACGCGTCTGCTGAACTTTTACTCCGTAACGTAAACTTTACCTCCTGCAGCGTAGAGGAAACGTGTTAAATACGTCAACACGGTGGATTTAATAGAAGCTTTAAGGAACAAACTCTGGATGGTGTGAGGTGAGTTTGTCTCACTGCAGAAATAAAAACACACACGCAGCGTCAGCAGTCAGACACAGCCGCTCACCAACACTCCTGTGTGTGTGTGTGTGAGCGTCAGAAGGCTGAACAATAACCAGTAGAATAATTAAAGTAATCATGCTAGAGCAGCTTCTCTGTGGTGGACCACACCAGCTTCTGCCACAATAAATAATAATAATAAATCACACACAAAGTTGTGAAAATTCCTTTCTGAACTATTTCTGTTGAGTTTTAATGTTTAAAATCTGTTAGATTGTTGCTGACAGCAGCTACGTTTAAGTTTCACTTCCTGTTCTGACTGAACGCTGCTGCAGCATGGAGGTGTAGTTCTCAGTCATCCTGGACATGATCATCCTGAGAGTTTTAGCTGAAAACAGCTGAACGTTCCTGGATGTGTTGGAGACATTTAGCCTCTCATCCCAGAGGCTTCTTCCAGACTTTGGTTGTGGTCAGAAACAAACACACTGGTTGTGCTGCAAGTCTTTTTCTTCTTTTCTCTAACACATGTTTTTGTCTAAATGAAGGAGATGTTGTTGTTCATAGAATTAAAATTCATGTTGAAGTTAAGATTATTTCATCAAGTAGGACCCGTGGTTAGCTGGCTCATGTAAAACATGTCATGTCTTGAAAGAATCGGAAATCGATAGGAACCGGAATCGAAACGAGGAATTGGAATCGTTCAAAATCAAACGATGCCCAACTCTACACCTGGGTTAAAAGTGTTCTCACTCACGGTTCTGCAGCATCTGCATGATGTGTTGTTTGATCATGGGTAGGACGATCTTTCCTCCCAAGCCACAGGCGATCCTGTCCAGAGCGCTCTCCCCGGCCACGGCGTTACTGGGGAGGAATGTCGGCGTCTAACGTCACATCTCTGAGGAGACTCCCCTCTACTGAACTTTCAAACAAGAGCTACCTGTCAAAGTCGTCGTCCTCCAGCTCGTCAGCCTGAGCCCACTCCTCGTCATCCTCCAAGTCCACCATCATGGCCAACATCTGGGGCACTGAGAACACAGACGCCATGAGCTACAGGAAGTTCTGACCCGCTTAAGATGATGACTAAACACACACTCACCGCTCTGCGCTACTATCGCTGTGTGTTTCCTCAACATGGCTGCTGCCGTCTCTGACAACGTGACGACCACTTCCAACGCCAGCTGCCTCTGCATGTTGGTCAGGTTGGTGTCGGCGCACAGCTGCAGGGAGCAGAGTTAGTTTTTCCGGAGAAGGGTTGAAACGCCAGAACCTGCCGTCCGGAGGCCCAAACCCACCTTCAGACAGAGCTGCAGCGTCGCCTCCAGGTTGGGTCTCAGGTATTTAGGTGCCGAGTCGGCGATTTCCACCAACGACTTGAGCACAGAGTCGTCTCCCTGGTAGCACGACTCATCCACAGCCTGATTTATTGAATTAAAGTTAGAAACGGTCGCGGGACAACTCATTTACAACACTCAACAACCCTTACTGTACCTGCAGAATTCCCGGCAGCAGGTCGGAAAAATGCTTCAGCAGAGCCGTGTTGCTCTCGTTGGACAAAACAAAGGAAGCTGCAGCTCGAGCCGCCAGGGTGCGGATCTGGAAAAGGGCGTGAATCAGCTACGGAGCATTCAGTTACGGTAAAGCACAGCCCGGGGAGGGGTACCTGTGGGTTCGCCTGATCCTGCATGCACTGGACCAGCATGCGTTTGACAACCTCCAGATAATGCTGCTGCTGGTTGCCAAAGATTCCTGGAAAGTTCCTAAAGCCAAAGAGAAAACTCCGTTAGAGGGATGGCTGAGCGGGCGAGCCTGCGGAGGAACCGGAGCTCACCAGAATATGTGCAGGGCAGCTTCTCGGAGGTTAACGTTGTCGGAGTTCACGGAGTCAAAAAGGAACTTCAGAACTTCTGGCCAGTGGTTGGTCCCGTTATCGTCTAGAGGCAAGGACACCGTTAACATGAATCTAGACCATTCCATACTGGGAATGCAGCTCCAACCGTACCGATGAGGTTTCGGCACAGCTCTGCTGCGATGTCGCAGACTTTCTTGCGGATGTTTGGGGAGGCGGCCTGCTGGATGCAGATCAGCAGTTCTGACTTGACGGCAGTCTGCATCTCCAGGGTCAGACCTGGGTAGATTTCCTCAAAGGAGGACGACAGCAGTCGCCGTAGCAACACCGCTGCCATCTGTCTGACCTGAGGAGACAAAAACTTCAGCCTCTGTGGGCGGAGCCACTGCACAGGAAGTCTTAGGGGCTCGACACACGGGAGGCAACAAACGACCGCGATCAGCGAAATTCGTCGCTGCCGCTTTTATTACCCGACACACGGGAGGCGACCCGCGGCAGCGGCAAAGCCGTCGCGTTCTGTTCCATGGCGAAATTGAAACTTCCTTTGTTTTGATTGGCTGTGTCAGGTTGGAGGGAATTAGGGTTATTTAAGCGGTTCAGAGTTTAAGAAGTGGTAGATATGATGTTTCACAAGGTGCTGCTAGTTATGTGAAATCTTACTTCTGATTTTACTATATAAAACAATAATAATCAACTTCTCCTTCATGTTTGCTCGAAGATGTACGGAGCGTCCTGTCTGCTCTGGCCAGTGAATGAAACCTCCGTTGATTGGTCCTCGTCCGAGCGACAGCGATGAAAAGTTGAAAATATTCCAACTTTCTGGGATCGTGTCGCTGGGTCGTCTGTGCACGACACGTGCAAGAGTGCAAAATTTCACACGCACGTTTTTCGCGTTTCGCTTGGTAGGAGGGAAACCCGCCATTATCGCTTTGTCATGCATGTCTCATTGAAAATGAATGGAGAGGCGATGTCGCCTCCCGTGTGTCGAGCCCATTATGAGTAAAGACGAGCGGAACCAGAACGCTAAAATGTGCAGCATCGTAGAAGCCCCTCCCCCGGGGCCGAGCACCTCACCGCCCGCTCTTGTTTCAAACGTCTAAAAATAATCAGCCTCGGAGGTATGAAAAGGGAAGCAGCAGCTGGTCGAGTCACGGTAAACTTAACCAGTGAGTCACAACGAGTCACGAGTCGAGTCGTGTTGATGCAATAACCAGATTCTAAAAATGCCATCAACCCTTTGCAAACGGGGACGTTAAAGCTTAAAGATGTGCTTTTGATGCCGTTTTGACCTTCCTCGCCTCAGACGGGGGGAATTTAAAACACACACACACACACACACACACACCTCCTCAGCTGCTGATGCATCTCTGATGGCCTGCAGCAGGAACGTGATCTTGGTCTGTCCTGGGATGTTTTCGTATGTCTCCTGCAGGGAAAAAGAAAAACGAACATAGATGAGTCCCAAATATGCCGATTCACACAAACAAAGTCAGACCTGACGGAAGATAACACGTCTGAGGACCACGGGGCTGGAAATTCACAAACTGGTTCAACTGGGAGTGACCTTAAGAGAATGCAGCAGGTTAAAGTAAACCCACAAATTTAAGTATCTGATGTGGTGGAGCTTACATTTCTACAGCGATAACCAACCTGAAGGGTGTTGTCAAGTGACATTAGCATCACAAAAACATGCTGGGAGGAGCCCCGGTGTGGCAACGCTGCAGAGACTGGATTTAATCCCTGATAAACAAGAAGCTGTTTAGTTTTGAGCCATTCTACGGATTCAGAAAGAAGGGTGGGAAGTTTACAACCACTGGTGGATTCAAAAGAATGACCCAATGGTTGCCTTGTCAACAGTCTAGATTTGAGATTACGATGTTCAGAAGTTGATTGTATGCAACACTGGCCTGTGATAGAGCCCATAAGCCTAGCACAGAGGCAGGCAGCCTGCTTTACAAAGGAAACCGCTGACTGTTGGTGAGAAGATCCACCACCTCATCTAGTCTGGCATCAGGGAGGAAACCAGCTGCAGCAGCAGGCTAGCCCTGGTGGGGAGTGTTCACAGGCCGCACCTCAGGTAAAACAACAGGAAATGAACACCTGAGTGGAGCCCAGGGGCAGTTTACGTCACAAGTAGCTTCACACATAAATATCACGGAATACATGTGTTTAAAACGCCTCCATCTGGTTGTATCTGCTGCTAAAAGGAGCCAAGGCCACAACATAACTGGTGTCAGGATGAGTACCCGCCGTGGGCTTCATGAGGCGGTGTTATGACAACGTTTTAAGGCGTCACCAGGCTCCACAGCCCGGTGTTCGGCTCAGTGTGGCCCACGATGGGTCTTTAGTGAGTCAGCATCAGCTCGGGCAGCTAGCTGCTTTAGCTCCACGCTACTTCCTGTAGCTTCTGTCAGCTGGAGATTTGAGATTAGCTCCTGGCAAAGCAGAGCGTTTCACTTTTCCCAGCCTGCCGGAGCAACTCAAGAGTCGGCGGCCGGCGCGCACGCATGGCGCCCCGGCGGGATACGCGTCCCCGCGCCTCATATCAAAGCCCACATAACTACGCAACACGCTGGTGGCTAGCTTTAGCCGACCGTCACCGGGACTCACACATCGCACGTGGGCTACCGAGTCTGCCGCGAAACCAGCGAGCGCGCGGCCGGTCTCGGAGGCTAGCGTTTGTTTTCAACGCTCCGCCGCCGACAGCACGCGTCTTCTTACCTCTGCTTGTTTTCTGACATTGTTGTCAGAACTCATGAGGTTCCCCAGCAGGAGGTAGAAATGCTGCTGCTCCGCCATTGCAGTCAGATCCGAAAGACCAGCCGGGTGAAGAAGCTGCGAAGTGAACCCGGCAGACCCCGCTCTGGCTACACAATTACGCTGATCCCCATTGGCTGATTTTATGAACTCTACTCGCTGATGATTGGTCCACCTAGTTGTGGCAATACACGCTATTGGCTGGTGAGGGTTCTCGTTCTCTTATTGGTTGGAATTGGCAAAGGAAAGTGACAGAGTTGTTTCTATTTGCCGTCAGTAAATGACTAAAACGCGGGAGTTTATTGCATGTCTGCTGGGAAATCAGACAATTGAGTGTGCCTTTTCTCCGCTGGGTCTGCGGATGATGCTCAACAGGGACAGCAGGGTGGAGACTGTGTTCAGATGCCCGGACTTAGGCCTAAATATTAATGGCAGTTAATTATACGGCCTTTAATTCAATGCAATTTACCCAACATCAACAAATACTGCAAGAAAGAATCAGAATAGGTTTATTGCCATTGTCAGTGAACAAACAATTCACAAACTAGGAACTTGCTTCGGTAATGTGCTACATATAACATGAATAATAAGATTAAAAATAGAATAAAATATAATAAAAAAACTAGAATAAAACTTTCAGCTATAAAAAATGGCAGGTAATGGTAACATGGCCGATAAGGTGACGTTGTGTCGAGTACAGAAGACGAGCATGGTTGTGTGTTTATAAGCTGTTCACAAGTCTAACGGCAGATGGAAAGAAGCTGTTCTTATGGCGGGAGGTTCTGGTCCGGATGGACCGTAACCTCCTGCCCGAGGGAAGCGGCTCAAAAAGTCTGTGACCCGGGTGCGAAGGGTCAGCTGCTATCCGACCTGCACGTCCCCGAGTTCTGGAGACGTACAGGTCCTGGAGAGATGGAAGGCTGCAGCCAATCACCTTCTCAGCAGAGCGCACAATGCGCTGCAGTCTATGTTTGTCCCTCACTGTGGCTCCAGCGTACCACACAGCGATGGAGGAGGTGAGGATGGACTCAATGATGGCCGTGTAAAACTGCACCATCATCTGGGCCGGCAGCTTGGCCTTTTTCAACTGCCGCAGAAAGTACCTCTGCTGGGCCTTTTTGATCAGGGAGCTGATGGATGGCTCCCACCTAAGGTCATGTGTGATGGTGGTTCCGAGGAAGCGGAAGGAGTCCACAGTGGTGACGGGGGTGTCCGTCAGGACGAGGGGGAGAGATGGGGCTGTGACTGAAATATTAATAATCAAATAAACAGTAATGCAATGCTGCAGTAAACCTTAGCAGTATTGCTTGAATAATTTGTTATTCTGGTTGGAAACGCTTTAGTTTGGGTTGGGAGAAGATGAGATGAGAGACCTGGAGGAAAATAAAAGCAAAATGCTGTGACTAGCTTCGTCCTGAGGTCAAATATGAAAACAAAACTATTTCATCAGAGTTTGGAGTCTCAGAAAGCCAGCTGTCTGCAAACGTTTCCTGTCATCCAGGGTGTCTTAATTAGCTCAAAATAAAGACTATTAATAAGGTTATGCCTAAAACAAATGCCTCTGATCAGAGTCAAAACATCTTCAAAAATCACTTCACTCAGAAACATCTTTGAAAAACAGCTGCACTTCAGCGTTCAGCCAGCAGAGGATGCTGCAGGATATTTTACAGAATAAACGTCTCGGGTCGCACGTCTTTTCAGGTGTTTAGTTAGAAAAGGTCTAATTTCTTTATTTTCAGAGGTCAGATTAGGTAATAATGTCATCAGGATGACTGATTTTTGACATATTGTGTTTTTTTATTATTGTTTAAATGGGAGTTCAGGATTCATGGACACATTTTTGGCACGTTCGGAACCTCATAATAATCGGTTTATTAACTTTAATCAGGCTTACGTCTGTTTTAGATGAAAAAGAAAACTCAGCAGCTAAACAGAGAGCCTCCGCTAATGCAAAACGCTGCAGCAATAACTCATCAGTCAGTCTGGAGTGAAAAAAGGAAGTTTAGCGCTGAGTTTTTAATACGACATACAAACATCCAGGTGTTTAGGTTCTCCAACTCAGAGGAGACCTTGTGTGCATTTAGGCCTCATTTATGTAAAAAAAAAAAAGGAAACACGTTTCTGGAAACCTGACTAAAACAGTGTTAGTGTTTGGCTTTTCTCACCGTTGACTGGTATGCTGAGGGAGCAGAAAGTTAAACAGCTGTTAACAACGATCTAAAAAAATCTAATTTTATTCTGCAACCTAAATTCATAAAGTCAGCTGTGGAAATAATACAAATTAGATCGTTAAACACATTTTAAAGTCACTTTTCTAATAACTTGCAGCAGTGGCCTCCTCTCTGGTGTGTGTGTGTGTGTGTGTGTGTGTGTGTGTGTGTTTTCATTGCTCCTTCAGAAAGGTGAACCTCAGTCACTGTTAGGTTTCCAGAGATCAACACATCCAATCTTCACACCCAGGCGAGCTGCATGTTTGACGGATTAAAAGTCAATATTTCTCTGTGACACACACGCTCGGCTCACAGTAGAGCTGTGTTCGTGCAGCACAAGGCAGCCATTGAAGGCTGGAGCGTGGGGGTGAAGGTGCTGGCTTTGGACGCCCAACACATTAAATAATATTCAAAAGACTCAAATTTATTAAAACTCTAAACATTTGATTGGTATAATATAACAATTATTAACTTTCATATTAAATTTATCAAGCAATTCTATAATAATACAACAATAATACTAAATAAAAATCCCACTTGACACTTAGGTGCATAAATAATCCATGAGCAGGCAGGAAACCTTTAAAAGATTTAAGACTGCAGATTGTTTTGGAAAATGCTAATCTTGCCAAAGAGATACAGCTACTACAAACTCAGAAATGTGTGTATCATGTACGATACAGTTAGCCTTATAGAGCTATTGGGTCCCCAGACATGGCGGCTGGTCTCGGGGTTATTTGAGATAGACACATTTCTACCATTATTTGCTGAAGCTCTAGTATTTCTCCTCACTTGGGTTCATTAATTCATTGAGAAATTCTGCTGGGACTAATTGAATGTTCAAAACGATGAAGGTTTTCCTTTTTTCTTATTGGGTAACAACAGAAAATGTGTAAAATTTGGGACTAAAATCCCATAGTTTTTCTTCCGGCTCTTGGAGAGTACAGATGCTTTTTTTTCTCCTCTCCCTCCTCCTCATCCCATGGCTCTTTGTCCAGTCTTGTGTGCACGGCACTTTCTGCATTTTTTTCTGGAAACTGGAAATTATTAAACATGGATCTGGTCAGTTGGTCTCTTAATGCGATTGACAAAATCTTTTCAACGATGAGATCAGGAGAAGGGGCTCCCAGATGCCCCTCTGGGACAGAGCCAGCTGGGTTTATCATGGACTCCTGGAAGCAGTGGAACCTGATCTGTCTGTCTCAGCTGTCTGTAGAGGACTCTGAAGATGTTTGGATATTTGTCGTTTTGGTGTCGGGATTCCTGCTGTTTGGCCTGAGCGGTTACCTGGTTTATTGGAAAATTAATGAGCTTTCGAGGAATATTGGCTCAATCCCGGACTCAGGGATGGAATGCATTGCGCTGTGAACTCATAAACTCATATAATTGTTGAGATGAGTCATAAGCTTGGAACTTTGGCTGAGATTCAGGCTCTGGCACAGAAGGTGGATTCCATCAAGGAGCGAGTTACCGGATCAGCACGGATCGGAATAGATTAATTACGCCATTATTGGATCTAGAGGGGTTGAAGACCAACAGAACACTAATGCAGAGGGGAAATTATCTGTCTGTCCCCAAAACAATTCTTATCTGAATCTGGTGCCCTTGAGCCTGTGAGGCTGAAGTGTAAACTCCCCTCAGAAGAAATGTGGAATGCTGCTGTCGCCATGAAAACTCTTTCTCCCTATCCCAGCCTGGGCGGGACTGTGACCGGTGAAGGCCGTGGAACCGTATCTAGGAGTCAATGTGCCCTCCAACCCATTATCTCCTTCCCTTGTCCAGACAGAGGTGATGAGCGCTGCTCCATGTGGCTGCACGCACTGAAATGAGGAGAATCCAAACCCTACCTCCCCACCTAGTGGACACTTATGTTGTGTAATGTCTGAAGTCTGTTGCATTTCTGTCTGAGGTGTTTTTTTGCATAGCAAAGCTGCCCTCTCTGTTGAGGGTAACTCTGAAGTGCCTTTTTCCCCTCCCCCTGACTCTATCATCATATAAACCCTCTTGATCTATAATGGTAGCGTGACTCGGGTTGCGAATGACCACAGTCACCAATTCTTGTCACGTGTCAATGTATGTATGTCTGATCTCAGAATTGTCTGTACTGAAACTCTAATTTCCCTCTGGGATTAATAAAGTATTTTTGAACTGAAGTGAACTGAATTGAATATTCTAGGATCACTGGATGCAGACTAAAGCAAAAGACCTTCGAAGGGGTTTAACAGCGCAGGATGGAAGAATGAATTTAAGAATGACATCCTGTGGTCAAATTTAGTTGCTGCAGTCCGTTTTTTATAAACAAAAAGTCTCTCTACCGTTCCACGAGTTTCAAGGCTGTTGCCAGTTATGGGTCAGCGCCAGAAGATTCTAGATGACAACCAAAGACAAGTCACACACAGGAAGTTGGTAAACAGATGAATCCATTGTCATATCTGGCGTTAGCACTCTTGGGTGTTTTATGGTAGGGAGAACCTACTACACTTATTATGGTAATATGATGCATCTTGTTTCCACTACTGGAACTTCACTGGGTCAGCCGAACGGGCCATCTTCAGGAACTCTCGGAGTACCTGAACTGAACAGGGGTAGGTACTCAGAGTGGCCCGGTGGAGTTGCCGAGCTGAACTTTGATTGGTTGTAACTCCATGAGAAATGACATCAGCAGACGCCGTCCAAAACAACAAATAAATAAGCACAGATTGCATTGCCGGTATTAAACTCCCAACACTGAAAAACTCCTCCACAACAACGTAATTCAGGGGCATCGATGTCTCACAGAGCGCCTTAAAAAAATCAGCTTCTTTCAGTCATTGAACGCCACATATAACATCACGCAGCTGCTCTCTGCATTAGAAGAAGTGATGATTGTTTGTCGTCTTGCTGTTAGCTTGCTGTTACCGCTCTGAACAACTCCGTAAAGGAAGTAAAAATACTCATTATTCACTTCACACAAACATTTCACTATAATATTGAGCTGTTGGTGATGGAAAAAATAGCTTGAGATGATTTTAGAGACGACTATTTGCTTCTAATTCACCATTAGCATTGTTAGCTCAATGTTAGCCTCTAGCCTGCTGCATAAGAAATTAGTGTAAAACTAAAAGATGCCGTGGCTTCTCAGGGGTACAAGAAATAACTTCTAGGTCGCTCATGTTTACTGGTGTTGGTTCTTTTAAAAAGTCTGGAGCTTTTTCCTGCTGATGTTGAATTACAGATGCTGGTGTTGCAGCGTTAGCTCGGAGAGACTCTGCAACCTCACAGGCTCACTAAGTGTAAACAGTAACCCTCTTTAGCTGAAAGGAGAAAAGCTAACAACCGCCCGGCCGGGTGAGAATGTACCCCTCCTTCCAACATTTGAGAATTAGACTCACTTGTGAGTCTAATTCTCACATGTTGCTCCTTTAAAGAGCTCTACAGGAGAACAGATTCATCCTCAGTCACACCAGATAATGAAGATCTCAGCATCATCACTTGTTAAAAAAATGTGATGGATTGTGTGGTGGATTTGAATTCTCCCAGAGCCCACGTCCCTGTAACGCAGGCCACCTTTCACCCGTCCTGCCTCCTCGGCCTCTGCGGTGATGGCCGGGCTGTAAAAACTGAACCCAAGGAGGTCATCCTGAAGTTTGCACAGGCCCGGAGCATTTATCCTCTCAGGGGGGTTTGGTAGCTCTGCGGTGGTGAGGCAGAGGCAGAGAGAGATGAATGTCCTCGTCTCTGGAAGCAGAGGAGGAGGTCTTATTTGTCTCCTTCGCTCGGCTGGATAGGTTTGTCAGATGATTTATTGCTGCCATTACTTAGTGAATGGAGGGTCACCCCTGCTGCTCATTGGAGCGACAGCCTCCTCTAACCCTAACCTGACTGGCGACGCTCACATTTCCTGCATTTCGATTCCAGCAGGTGGATAAAACTTTTGTCACAACCGAAAACATTTTGTTTTCTTCTTGCTGTTAAAGGTGGACAATTATGTCTTCAGCCACCTATTAGAATTGATTGAGAATAAGATTTTTATTGGATGTAACTGGCTGACCTTTAGAGTAAAGCAGTTTGAAGATGGCCGCCACAGCTGAAAAACATATCAAACACAAAAACGGCTAAAACTCAGTTCTAAAGGTATGGTGCTAAAATGCCGAGTGCTATTTACATCACTTTGTGTCACAAAGATCTTGTGATATTATAGAACATCACACTTTCAAGATTTGTGCAAAGGATTAATAAAATTATCCAAGAAAAATATGTTTTTATTATTAGTAAATTCCATTTCTCATGCTTACTCTTCTTCTTATTGTCCACAGAGTCATGAGGAGGTGGTGTCTGACTCCAGCAGTAGTCCGAGAGACACCCTGGACATGCTCCCAGCCCATCCCAGGGACACACAGAGACAAACAAGGCCTACATTCCCTCACAACTTGGGACAATTTATTTATTTAACCTTTATTTAACCAGATGAGTGGATTGAGAACTCATTTACAACGACGATCTGGCCAAGAGGCAGCAGCACATATTTAGCTTTACACCAAAGAAAAACAGATAAGATAAAAAATACAAGATAAAAATCAGATAAATAGTTAAACATAAAGACAAAGGACTGTTCTCACATATAATATGTACAAGCAGTCAGAACAGACCTAAAACAGTCTTTAGTACTCAGAAGCAGGAACATTGATCAGAAACTATTGATCACCATGAATTATTGAAGGTAGATAATGGAATGTAGGTAGTGAGCTTCAGTGGTTTCTGCAGCTCATTCCAGTCGTTGGAAGCAGCAAACTGGAATGAGGAGCGGCCAAAGGAGGTGCGAGCTTTGGGAATAACCGTAGAGATGAAGTTACTGGAACATAAATGGTGCTGGTTGTTGGAAGTGATGATGAGAGAAGATATGATGGTTCTTCTGATGATTGTTTTGTATATGAACTGATACCGACATCACAACCTGCAGGAATGGAGTGATGGCCAGTTAACAAGTGAGTACAGATCACAATGATGAGTAGTGAATGGGGCACCAGTGACCAAACAGGTTGCTGAGTGATAAATGACATCGAGTTTATGAAGAAGTTTTCTGGAAGCAGTCCTATAAATGATGTCACCGTAATCTAAGATGGGAAGGATTGTCCATTTGACCAAGGTTTGATTTGCAGAATGTGTAAAGGATGACCTGTTTCTATAGAAACCCAGTTCTAGACTTGACTTTAGAAAGTAATGAATTAATGTGAAAGTCAAATGAAAGTGTGCTGTCAAGCCAGACACCCAGATACTTATAGGAACTGATGAGCTGTAGTTCTGTACCATCCAGAAAAACAATACTAGGGTGGAGCGTTACGGTTGAAGATCATGAACTTTGTTTTACTTGTGTTTACATGAAGATGAAGGTTGGAGAAGGCATATTGAAGATGATTAAAGTTGTGCTACAAGGAGGACAAAGCTGTGTTCAAGGAAGAACTGCATGAATATAAAATGGTGTCATCTGCATATAAATGTATATGAGAACTATCAACAGCATGAACAATGTTATTAATATAGATTCTAAATAAGGCTGGGCCCTGTATCGCCCCCTGAGGAACGCCCATAGATAGAGGTAGAGGAGCAGATTGGTAACCCTCTGTTCTCACTGGCGTACGACCTAAGATGTAGCTTCTGAACCATGCCACGGATGTCTGAGAATGTCCTGTATGTTTGAGTCTACTGAATAAGATGTTGTGGTCTACAGAGTCAACGGCTTTAGCCAAGTCAACAAGCACAGCCACACAATATTCCTTATTGCCAATGGCACATATGATGTCATTTAGCACTTTAAGTGTTGCAGAGACACATCCATGGCCAGTTCTGAAGCTGGACTGCATGGAGGTAATAATACTACTGGATTCCAGATAGTTAGTTAGCTGTTTGTTGACTAAATTTTCAGTGACTTTAGAGAGGCAAGGCAGGATAGAGATAGGCCCATGACAGCTTAGGTCTGAATGATCCCTCCCTTTAAAAAGTGGAGTAACTGAAGCAAGTTTCCAGTCCTGCAGAAATGCACCAGTTTGGTGCAGCAATAACATGTGCTGCTATTTTCAGAAAGAAATGGTCAAGAGTGTCCAGTCTGGCTGATTCATGAGGATCTAACCTGAGTAACTCGGCAAGTACCTCATTTACCTGAAACAACTGCAGGGGCGTGTCCAGGGAGTGGCCTGGGGTAGCACATGCCACCCTTAGAATCTGATTTGCCACCCCACTAAGTTCCAGTTTAAATTGACTTTACATTGTCGACAAAAGGCTTGGGTTGTAAACTCCAAAATAGTGTGTGGTTGCATGCACCTTTCACCTTGTTTTCTAGCCCAGGTATGTAGTATTAATATTATTTAATTTTTTTCAAATTCACATACATAATATTTAGAGTCCCACTCAACTCCAGCTGGTGGCAGTATTGCAACAAGAAGTGACTTGCTAACCACACAAAAGTAGAAGATGAAGAGGAAAAAAATGGTGATTGTGCAATATGAAACTCAAAAATTCACTAGAAAGTAAATAAATAAATAAATGATTTGTGTAAATAAATAAATAAGCATAACCATTGGTGCCACCCATGAATAAACAAGTGCCCCGCATGGGCCACCCCATTTTAAAATTCCTGGACACGGCTCTGAACAACTGAATGGAGAAACAGGAATTGGTTGTGGGGAGGGAATCATTGCATAGCTGAGTCAAGGTCAGAGATGTGTGAAGCTGTTGCAAAGGCCTGACCGGACTTGATAAAGTGATTATTGAAAGAATTTAAAATTGTAGTTTTATCTGAGACAACAATGCCATCAGATCTTATTTCATTTAGAAAGTGTGAGGACTTATTGGTATTTTCCATTTTCCATAACCCTAACCGGGTACATTTGTTCCATATAGATCTGAAAAATTGTCGCAGATATTCTTGGACGTCTTTGCTTTTTGCCAAGATTGATGTTTTAGATGAATTGGTTCTGAGAGTTCAGTTTTGATCCAGGGACTGAAATGATTTTTAACCTGATTTAGAGTCTTCAGTCAAGCCAACATGGCGGTTTTTGGTCTGTGGGGGAAAACTGAAGTACCCAGAGAAAGCTCACACAGGTATAGGGAGGAGAACATGCTAACTGCACACAGAAAGGCCACAGTCGGGATTTGAACCGGCAACCTTCGTGCCTGCTGCACCAACATTCAGCTCTACCCTAAAACATGAGAAAAACCTACAAGGAGATCAAAGGTGAGTTTTAGAGAAAGAAAACAAAGATAGCGACTAACTCAGCCCAGGTGTGGTGATTAATAAACTACAAACAGGTGTGTAACGAGAAAAAATAGTAGAAAATAAATGAACACAGAAATTAAGAGATTAGAGAATGAAACCTCCCAAACGTCCCACAGACCTTAAACTGAAACGTAACCCTGTCCAGCAGGAGGACAAACAGACGTAAATGTGTTTGTTTTTGTTTACATAGTAAATCTCTTCTTTGATGTAACAAACTTCACCAAACAGCTGTGATGTGACACGAAGGTGAAGAACATCTGGCTCAGATAGACCTACGTCTGGAGCCCACACATGGCAGAACACCCCTCTCCTATAGGGGGAGAGTCAGTGTGCCCTCCCTCCCTGATCTCCCCATCACACACACACACACACACACACACACACACACACACACACACACACACACACACACACACACACACACACACACACACACACACACACACACACACACCCTCCCTCTGCTCAACGTGCCAAGTTCTCTCTCCCGGTTTTCTTTCCTCTCTGTTTTTCTGTGCCGCCACGTGAAGAGTCCGGACCTGCTCCACTCGCTGCAACCTCCGAGGAGCCATGATGAACAAGTAAGGACGGTTTTCTGCTGTAAGCCTGAGTGTGTGAGCGTGCACGTGGTCTGTGCAGAGGCTGGCTGTGCCGGTCCAAGTACTAGTACTTTTGTGTAATTCTGGTTTTTACTCCGTTTGATCTATAGCGTCTTCTATACGACCCTTCATCTGTTCACCCTCATCCTCACCTTGTCTCATTTCTGATTCCTTTTACCTTTCAGCTGAGCCACCTGTTGCATTTTTGTGAATAGTAATCAAATGCCGATTTGCTGTTGACTTTAAAATGTAAAAGAATTGGAAATGCTTCCCTTTTATCCCTACTAAACTGTAAAGTTTTGTTATTTATGATCATTTAAAACAAACTTTTCTTTAAAAAAAAGAAAAGTTTACAAAAACAAGAATAATCAGTTGATTTAATGACATTTTCCTTCCTTTCAGCTCTAGAAATGGACAAAATAAACTACAATTCAATCATGATATCTTTCAGGTATCGTAAAATTGATCCGATACGATAAATGTTTCAACAACAAAAATCACATCAGTCTTTTGTGGTTTTAACAATGACAAAGAAAATGTACCCGTAATCTACATAAACCCTAATAATTAGTTCAGTAACATCTGGGAAAGAGTCAAATGTAGGGCTTTGCTGCAATTATTATGTTTTTTCATGATTAAATTAAAATGAACCCCATGTCAGGATCATTTGGGTTCTATAGATCAAACCTGGAATTATCAAGCTCTTTAGAAATGTGTGTTTTGTCACTTTTATTTCAGCAAACTATATTTACTAACATGTCAGACACCAATAGTTAAGTTTGGAGTGTGGGAGATGTTTGCAAAATAAATAACGGATGAGAACCCAAGGAGGTCACCCTTGCACTATTTGCTCTCCTCCTCAATGGACGAGGCTCAATGGTCATGTGAAGTTGTTTCAGACCTTCATGAATGTTCTTGTTTTCTTGATCTTTGTCTTCCAGAAGAAGGATTAGAAAGATGTGGGTCAGGACAAAGTTTGTCAGCTGCACTTTAACAGACAGATGTGTGGACTGCATGTGGCTTTATGAATGAAATCATGCTTTATTTGAGAGGATCCACACACACAGAAGCAATCAACGTTTGTTTAAGGAGGCAAAACGACGATATTTTAACTTTTCATGTTTAAAGTTTAATCCAGTTTTACACAGTTTTTGTTTTTGATAGATTTTTAAATGGTTTCATTTAACTTTGTTGGGTTTTTTCTTGCTGGGTAGGAAGAAGGATAAGGAAGAGACCAGCTAGAGCACCCCCTGGTGGTGCCTGAAGGAAAAACATTGCACGCATAAACTTTAAAACAACACTGAAAAAAAGGAGTTGCTATTTTTTCATTGAGTGATTCTAACAAAAAGGGAGAAAAAATGAACTTTCGCTCCTGTTTATGCTACACAAGCTAGCATTAGCTTTGGCGGGTAGCTAGCTGAAAAACAAATCTAGAATAACTTGAATTCTCATTAGCCTCCGATTCAAAAGAAAAGTTAAAATGTTTATTTTACAGATTTGTATCTTGTAATCAGTTAATGAAGCCAGAGCCTGATGGAGGTTTTTAGTCTTGATTTGAGTCAAATTTAATGTACTTGACTTGAGTCGATGAGCAGGATTTGAGCAGGAGCCATCCGCCATGACTGAACTCGGACAAATTCTATGTGACTTGGTCTCAAACACTAAAGACTCAAGTATGACGCAGACCCGAGACATTGGTAAAGAGAGTGTTGTTAAATTTTAGCTCATATTTAATTTTCTTCATCATACACAGAGTTACGAGGGTTTGTTGTTAGCTTTTCTGACATGTTTCGACGTTTCACTACTGCCTTCGTCATCTTCGTTAGCTCATAATTTGATGAGCAGTTCTATTTAATTGCCTCCATCAGTTAGGTAATAAAGCTACAATTTACAGTTTTTTCTCGACGGCACCATCTAGTGGATTACAAATGTATCGCACCTTAAACCGTTCTCACCACTTCTGTATTTACGGCTGAAAGCAACACCATGAACGCGCACCTTTAGCTGGCTAACAGAGCTAAAACACATTGTTTTACATTTATTATTCTAATGTTGTGATGTTTATTCACATCTATATATTTCAAAGACCTACTTGTCTGCATAAAATGTTGCCAACTCTGAATCAGTCTAGGTAGGTCCTCAAACGCTCGCGTGTGCCTTGTGATTAACATCTGTACATTAGCGGATGACTAATGCTAGTGGCTAATGCTAAATGGTGGTCAGTTCAGAGTTCATGGGGTTCTATGGGACGGGGGGGGGGGACGGGGGGGGGGACAAAAATATAAATGTATTGACGTGTTGCCTACATTATATTACCGTACAGGAGAAGACAACCACTTGAACCAGTTTCTTAGAAATCATAATTCCTGAAAGGGGAAAATTCTGGGATGCAGCTTTAAGTAGATTTTATTATTGTCGCTGTTCACATAGAAAAGTTGAGCCGAATTTGAAGTGATGATGTAACAAGCTTGTCTTTATCGATCCTCATCATACACCTCTGAGTCTTTAGACCTGCAATCCAAGAACAAAAAATATGGTTTTTGAGGTTTACATTTCAAAATTTTCAGCAGATTAAGCAAATTTACTGAGAACTTTTTTTTTACAAACAAAATAACTAAATTTCTAGCTTAAATACTCCTAACTTCAGCCATACCTTATAAATATGATGTCATTGAAATAAACAAATTACAAAATACAATGAAAAGTTGTTTTTGTCACAAAAGACACAAAATGAGTAAAATGTTATTTTAAAAGCTGAGCTGAAAATCCTAAAAGTACATTTTTTTTCCCACATTTTCTGTTTTGGGTTCGTTTGTGAGAAAATAGTAAAATACACAAATATAGCATTAGAAATCAATAAAACCCACTCTTACAAGTTTTGTGCCGCTACTGACATTTTAATGTTCTCTCTCGCTGTTTTTGATTGAAGAAAACCGTTAAAAGTAGCAAAGTAATCGATTATTTGTCTGGTTTTGCTGAATGGTTACTGGCTGAGAGACTTGCAGCACCCTGGCCAGTTATTTCAGAAAGCGTGAGCGATAAAGGAGACAGAGGGAGGAGAGATGAGAAGATGAGTGCAGCTGTGCGCCTCTTTAGGATTCCTCCTCTCTACCTCCTCTCGCCGGGGCCAAACCGCCATCGTTAGGTTTGGCACGCCACCCGAGCAGCCATTGTTGAGGCAGCCATGGCACGTTAGTGTGTCTTTTAGACTGTGGCTAAACTCAGTCCATTCACGTGTAAAAGAGTGCAGCCATTGGCAGAAAGTTGGCAGGCTGCACAGAGAGGCCATTCACCCCGTTAGGAAGGAGCTGAGAACACCGTCTCGGAAATGGTCTTCTCTGAAAACTCTGATGGAGAGACTTTGGGTGCCTCCTTAGAGTCCATTTGCTCTGATCTGATTAACAGATCTCTTCATCGGTGATCAATATCGCAGCTGAAGGCTTGAGGAATCCGTCCTGCTTTCGTTTCTGCTCGAGGAGGAATTTGGAGTTAGGAATCTGGATTTTAGGGCGACTTTGTTGAATCACTGTTTCCTTTCAAGATGTTTGGACGTGGTCCAATCCCTCGGGCGTTCTCAACAAAAAGGCTGATATACAGGGGTCAGATGCTGGACCTCCACCTTTCATCCTTCATGCTGGAGAAGAACAAATTACAGGGCCTCCGAATGGACAAATAATCACCTGCAATTAATTTCCCTGTCATACATCTTTCTCACCAACACACGTAACACCCAACGGCTCATTTTGTAGCCCTCCGTGACACATTCCCCGTCTAATTTTTGAAAACGATTACTCCTGTTGAAGAAAATGAGGAGAAATTTCTCTACTTGTTCTGACGGAAAGAGAAAACCATTCTGTTGATGTCAGAAGGTGCCTGGTTTACGTATTTAAGCTAATCCACTCCCCACGCTCTCCTCATTCATAAACAAGCGGCGGGTTGAAGGTATCCAAGTGAGACGCACGGGGGTGGGTGGGTGGGAGTGGACCGCATTCTTCCGAGGACAATAACACTCGAACAGGAAGCTCTCAACAGGAAAAGCTTTCACGTTTATTTGTAAAAAGTAATGAAAAAACATCTTTAAATTATTTTTTGAAACATTTAGAAAACTCCAGCCTGATAAATGATCTGATTTGTTCCGACGTAACGTTTTGGTATTATCAATGAAATCTCTTTTATCATCAAAAACATCAGAAATCACGTAAACACTTATTTCTCTTCCTTTAAAATCATGCTTATGTGACTAAATCCACAAGACATTGGATCAAACCTTTTGAGCCAGATTGTTCAGCTGCAACAAAAAGTAATTCTCTTATCTGTTATCGTGTCACGGTGTTTCCACGGAGATGCTGAATCTCTGGAGGCAGCCGCTTTAGGGTCTGTCTGAAGTTAACAGAAACACAAACAGAATAGCTGTAACATCTACGCATGTTTTTATAAATCACTTCCTAAAAGCAGCATTTATGGAGGGAATATTTTCCAGAAGTGATGGAGTTATCGTTGTTTTAGTTAAATCGCACACGGCCTGTTTTGTAGACGAGTCTTGGCTATCACACCAAATGTTAGCACAATATCTTTAAAACTCACTGGGTTATGTTTAGTGATGCACCGACATGAAATTTTTTGGCCGATATCGATATCCGATATTAAGATCATTGTTATGGCCAATAACCGATATTTGCCGATGCCGATACACTGACATTAATGCTTCTAAAATCTGCAGATTTTGTATGGATTGAAAATTATCACAGCTGAATTTATGTTATTATGTGCACACAACACACACATTTACGGTTCTGAGATGATTTCATTCACTGTTCACATGACTAAACAATTACACATCTCCCTCCCACCCTCTGAAACAGGCAAACAAATGGAGACGAGATGGAAAAAATATTGATGGTTATTGTCGGCCCGGTTTTATTTATCGAACAGATATGTTCGAAAAATGACTAACGTCGGCCAATACCGATATTGATGCCGATATATTGTCCATCCCTAGAAATGTTCTTGTGTGTGGTCGCTAATGATTGTTAGCTCTGGCGGCCATCTTGAATTGAAATGACTCTAATGGCGGTCAGCTGTACGGTGTACTTTGTACAACACACTCAGGAAAACAACGATCAGACAAAAGGCCTTAGAATATTCCTGAAGGTGGCGCTGTTGTAGTTTTTTTTAAATAAAATCAACCCATTTGTTACAATCGCTAAAGTATCACACACACCTAATGGTTTGGATTTGGGTACAGCTGCTAGCATGTTGGGGATTTTGCTAGTGGATAAACACCCATTGAGCTAAAACAGAGAAAATAACAGAGTTGCATTTGAGGGAAAACATCGCATTTTACCACATAGGAGTGAATGTTCTAAAAACAAAAATCAATGTCTGACATGCTAGCAGGTGGAATGTCCATATATGGGCTTTGGTTTTAAAGAGGAAGTGCTCAGAGGTGACTGTTTACATCTGAGGAGTTGATGGACACCAGACCCAAAGTCTACACATGAAATGCACGTTTGTGTAACTCTAATGCAGTAAGTGCTGCAGATTGGTGGAGTCCTGTCGGTCCTGAGGTATGTGGTGGCGTGAAGCGAACGTCAGCCCACCACGGGTAAAATCTGGGTTTTCTCCATGTGATTGATTGAGTATTCAGCTGTAATGGTAACGGTGGGGGACATCCAGAGCTGTCCTTCATCGCTGGGTGGATGTTTGGTTTCTGGCGTGAGTACTCCTCCGTGGAGGTCACATGTTTGCTTCATGTTGCTGTGGGATTTTCCTTTTAGCCCTCAACGTAAACACAAACAAGGAGCGTGAATCGGACACAGTGTGTTTCTAATCTCCTCACAGGTTGTTACGGCTTTGTGGTGTTTTTCCAACCTGGGCTTGAGTCCCAAACAGACGAACCCCAGACCTCTCAGGGGCAGGGTCTACGCCATTAGGAGACCATAGACCACTGGTGGAGGCGGTGCTCATTGTGCTTCATTAAGCAGGAAAGAAAAACCCAGCAGGTTGAAAACACCTCACGTTCAGTTCTCCTGGCGTGCAGTAGACAACCCAACGTCCGCTTTCTTTGATCCTTGCTACTGAAGGATGAAAACTGACTGCAGCCTGCTTTTCTGTTCAGGAGAAAACTTTTATAAGTGTTTCCAATTTAACACACTTCTAAACCAGTAAAACAGGCAACGAGGCATGTTGTTCGTCTCCCTGATTCAAGATGGCCGCCACAGCAAATCAACAGCAAATACAAAAATGGCTAGGAGTCTGCAAACGCTAACCC